GACGATGATTAATATGACTCTTCTCAGAGGACTCTTTCCGAGGACTGAAGAAGCAGTTAAGTGCTGTAGTGTGTTCAGGCAAGTGGTTCTCACAAGCATGGAGTGGGCCTGTAGGGGGTTGGGGTGGATAAGAGGTTCACAATCCTCTGGCAGGCAGAGTCATTATTATCACATCTCTTCCTGCACATGAATTTATTATTGTAATCCCCAAAAGAGTTATGATCGTTTGTTAAGTAGCAATTCAAAGGGGTAGGAGCATCTCCCCTATGAGGAAATATTATAACATTTGGGACTTTTTGGTTTAGGAAAAAAGGCAGCTAAGGGGATACATGGCAGAGATTTATATGATTAGCAATGGTTGTGAGCTCTTTTAGTTCATGCTATTTGCTTCTTTTGTCTGCCTGCCACTTTTATTATTTTTATTGCTTTGTGAACTTGTTTTTAAAACAAAACAGGAGTTTCAAAACTGACAGGTGGGCTATCAAATATTTTATTTAAAAACCAACAAACCCTGTATAGAAATTCATGCTCCAGTAGAAACAATTGATCCAGGAATAACGAGTCTATGCTTTCAGAGAGGAATTTTATTTCGCAGGAAGTTCTGGATTTAACAAAGTCCAGAATGCCTGGAGTGCTCTCTGCTGGCACCAGGAAGAAAATGCATCTCTGTATCATGTTTCATCCTAAAGGGTATCTCCATGAAAACTTATGCCATAATAAACATACTAGATTTAAAGGTGCCACAAGGCTTCGTTGGTTTTGCTCAAAAACAGTTAATCTTAGCTGTCTACATATGCTGTACTCCAACCATCACACAAACATCCATGTGCACACAAACACACACACCTCCCAGTCTTAATCTGAGAACTTAATCTGAGAATTTAGTTCCCAGATTCTATTGGAAATAGTTTCTAAATATTCTGAGCCAAGCTTCCACTTCAGAGTTGAAAAACTAATTAACAAAGTGCACACAATAAAAATGAGAATGAAAAAAAACTATACAAAATTCTCAAGGCTGCCAAGAAGCAGTTGTTTCAGGAGAGCCACATTCCTGCAAAACAAACAGTATCTTTTAAACTACAAGTCCACAAAAAGAGATGCTACCACTCTGGTGCAACCCAAATATACTAATCTTTTACCTCATGCATCTGACGAAACTGACTCTAGCTCATGCCACATTCAACTGGTCTTTAAGGTGTCACAAGACTTCATTTTTGTCAAATCTAAAGGAAGATTACTTTAAGAACAAAAATCCAACAAGAAGCAATACAAGATTTCAAAACTTCCCTTCTATGTTCTAGTGGTGCTTCTTCCAGAAATCCTCCACTATGTAGCTGAAAGTTTGAGAAGACAGCTCTCAAACTCTCAGGGTTGGTACCTCAGTGATGGAATGCGCTTAGAAGTCAACTGACATTTCAGTGCCAGGTTTAAACCTTCCTGTTTAGTCAGGTATTCATGGAATGGCTATTCCAGTCTATTGCTGCAACCAATGTGCTGTGGGCAACCAGACCTCTTTGGGTAGCCTAATAGGACATAATAGGACCAGCTCAACCCCAATCAACTGGCATTATTAGGAGGCATTATGGCCTCTCTACATGGAGATTTATCATCCACCGTATCTACACCTGGATGGGAATGGGTAAAGGTGAAAGTCAGAAAAGTTCATCTAGGCCCTCTTCCCACCATGGCAAGAGGCAGAGAATATACACAGCCCTGATAAAGCTAGCACCTGCCTGGAGAAGTCTCTTGCATATTGGTGTGTCCAGTTCTGTCATTGCCTGTAATATTTTACACTACACTAGCAGCCAAAAGGAAGGGAGAGATCTGTACATGTATGTGTAATAAAAGGAGGAAAAAGATCTGTACATGTAAACTCAAAAGCTGAAAATTCAGAATTTTCCCTACCAAAAGTACCTAGTAAAGCAGCAAGACAAGAGGTGCCTGGCCTTTCCCAGGGGACCAATTGAGACAGCACAACAGAATGGTGAAAGCTCACAAGCCTGGCCACAAAGGTAGCCAGGCTGAACAGGGCATTATGTGATGGAGCAGATGGGCTGGAAGCAGCAGGAGCAGATGGACTGGCAAGACTAAGCCTTGTCCTTCAATTGCAAAGAGAAGAATGCTTTGCGCTTGCTGCTTGAGCAACTCACGGCACTGCCCAGCTGGCCCAGAGCCACCTTCAGCAGCAAGCAGTTCAGCATGGCGGTCAGCTGCAAGAGGCGAGTTTGTATAACTCTGTATGGGTAACAGGCAACCGCAAACTGTATTCAATGGCCAACGTTGTGTTGCTTTTACAGCAGATAAAATGTGCATCCTTTTATTTTGAATAAACTAGCTTTAACAGTCAAAGCATGCACACACAAAGTGAATGCTTAACTTACCACAGGAAGTCATTTTCTGCAAGGGATGAAGCCTTGGATGGGTTGTCCCTGCCACTCACTCCACTAGGGAAGATTATGCAAAGGGATGGATGGGGTGGCACCCTGAGTTGAGATAGTAGCCAACCCTCAGTTCACAAGTGCCGCAGCTAACAGAATACTACTCCAGAACAGCAAGGCACCCATCAAAATAGACTAGAGTAGAAATAAGAACAAAAGCATAGTGGGGGGGGAGTAAAAACAGTCCCACAGTCCCTGTTGTTCCTGGCAGGTGTATGTCTCAAGAGACAATGGAGTGTGCCTCTGGAGGTGAAGTCAAGCCACTCCCTTAGCTGCACATGATGATTGTGATTGTACCAATTGTACAAGATCTACTCTCCCACAATCAACGTGAACCTGAAAATTATTTTACTACTTAAAAACCCACAGACACTACATTACAGGGACCCCTGGATACTTTTGAGCCAGTGTTGAAAGCAAAACTGTTGCAATGGCGATTGCAAATCACCAACAAATGCAGGTGAATCAACAAGATAACCAACCCACTTTGGCAGAAACTCTCAGGACAGATGAACACTAGAACTGAAAAGATTGTGTTGATGGTGATTGCCTTTAGAAGCCCATCTGAGTTCTCTGTGAAGCTCCTGGAGTCAGGACACAATGACCATACGCTTCCATGAAATGCATAGAATCTTGGAATTTGCCATGCCGGAGTGTCTCCACTATTGTCTTTCCGTCATGGAAAAGCCTTAGCCAACATAGAAATTATAGAGAACTGGAATGCAGGTTCCAGGTGTTAATTAGGTCAATGAACTGAATGAAACATTGATTTAAAAAACAGAGGCAATCATAATGTTTTGATGGTTATGGCTAAGGCTCATGAGACTTGAGAAAGGACAAGCTCATATGGCTATATGGCTACCATCTAGAAGGAAACCATTCTAACTCCTTATGGATTCATCAGATAATTCTAATTCCAATTAGTTCCAAAGAGCTAAAGTTTAATTTTAAAAAAAGTTTTAACTCATTTGTAGAGACAAATGACCCTAAGAGCTCACTGCTCTTGTCAGTTGCTGAAGAGGGCATGTAACTTCTCCACAGTAGTAGCCCTCGGACTCTTTTAGTTCCTCACATCTCATCTGTTTCGGGGTGTAGGGAGGATGATCTGACATCATCATCAACCTTTTATTCGACCGTCAGTCAGAAAAAAGTACATTTGTCAATACACAGTTAAAACATCCAGGAAGATTTTAGAACTTAGCCAACACTAAAATGGGCTAAACAGATAGCCCCATAGGATGATCTGACAGAGTTAACTTCCAATGACTTCTCCCTTGCTAGATCAATCCAGGGAGCTAAGCCCCTCTTAGCAACCAGACAGAGCTGAGTTTCTCAACCATGTTGAAGAACTGGCCTTGCAGAAAGGTGGCTCATATCAGGGATGAGAGGACCCTTCAGTTTTACTAGGCTCTGGGAAGGAAGTCATACTGATGTGGGTGCACTTTACTCCCTCCATCCTGGATTCCCGGCAGATCCCTCTGGGTGGTCTGGAACCTGATGGCCTTACTGACCCTCAGCAGCTCACCCACCACTTTCAACAGGTCTGCCTGCACCAAGCAGAAACCCCGAACCCTGAGGCAGTCTGGGCTCCCCTTGCCTCCATGGAAGACTCAATTGGCAGAATGAGACTGCTCACTCTTTCACAAGTGGCAAAAATAGAACGCTGACTTCAATTCCTGTAAATCGGGCATTGCTGAGGCGGTAGCTGACTGCTCATTCTACCATCACAACAGAAGCAAAAGCAACAGTGGCAGTCATCTCTCCCCACATTGCCTCAGAGGGTAGAGGAAGGAAATACAGAGGGCCAAGGTGGCTCTGAATGAGAGAAGAAGACCCAAGATCTGCTCTGGGAATTAGGCAGGAAGAAATTAAGGGTGAACTTCAATTTAGGATGTCACCAAATTGCATGATTGTGCCTTCTGGAGCGAGAGAGACAAGCCATCTGATGGTCCCCTCCTCCACAGCAGGAAATAGAACTATTGATGCCGTGAGGCATTATGGGAAGAAACCAGACCACCTTTCATATCAAGTTCTTGGCATTTAATTATGAGACAACATTGATTAGTTTCTCTAACTGCTTTCCATTCTTATACTCTCAAGACTTTGCCAATGACTGTACATAATCTGAATTGTGCATGATACGCTTTTAGTCTGTGTTGTAACACAAGGCCCACATATTTATACTCAGTTGCAAAACAGCGAGTGAAGTGTAGGCGGAGGGCACTTGTGCAGTGGAACACAACATGTGTTCATAATAGAAGAGCTCTCTTCAGTCCCATTTGCAATCAAAGCACAAAGGGGAATTGTCTACTTTAAAGATTTTACTCTTATACAGCACTTTCAAGATACTTCATTTTACATCCATCGATACTGAGATACTGAAAAGGCTCAGATGTCTTCTGAATATAGTTTAACTGGAAACATTATTTCTGAAGGAATGTTTAAGATACTCCCATTTTTGTTTACTGTTCCATACCAATATTACGTTGCAACTGACCCTCTAAAACAATAGTCCATATTTTCAGGAAGGCTTTTCAGTTTACAAAAGAATACTCCATTTGAAAGATTCTTCCTTTTCTAATTTAATAGAAATAACCAAAACAAAGTGGTTTTCAAAACAATTCTTTTTAAAACTGTTCTAAGTACAACTGCTACACCACATTCCAGAGCATTTAACAAGAAATATTTACAGGCTGCTAAATGTATTAAATAATCATGTAAAGGGAAAAAATGCCTTTATTACACACCAGCCAAAAAACACAGGAACTGAACAATTAGAAACGTTAACTTGTTTTAAAAAAATTAAATATTATTCAGAGAATACATTACCACAGAAACAGCACTTTTTTGAAGAATCAGTAAAGTTAACTATGTGCAAAAAGTACCAGTTTTAATTACCAGAAATAATATTGGGAATGGAACCCTTTGATTTGTAGGTTTACATATAAAATTAAAACAGGCTTTCAATTGCACAAATCTTTATAGACCTGTTATATACATCTTTAATGGTATTTTGAACTGAAGAAATGCCCACATCTGCAGGCCTTTTACAAACATGCATCACCTTCCATTTTGAAATTTATGTTCACACTAAGGGGAATGAGAGGTCTATGTTTGCATTTCTTTGTACAAAGTCACAAATCATGTCAAAAGAAAGCAGCAGCTCCTCAGCTTTAAAGGTACTCAAATAGAAAGGGGCAAACTGCATTTTTTAATTGTAAATCAGTTACTAAGTTAAGAACCAAAACAGCGATTTATCAAAGCTATTTTGATTCAGACACGTTTTAAAAGAAGAGAGAGGGACAAATAGGCAAAAACCACAAAAGCTACAATGGATGGAGTTACTGCACGTGCAACTTTGGAAAGGAAAAGTGATGGCCATATCTGACATCACAAGTCTTATGCATTAGTCTGAAATATGTCTATTTAAATTGTGGCATATAAAGTTTTTAAAAAAGTACCTCCGTTATTTACTCAAACACCTACTTTTTAAAAAAATATGTTAACTTTTCCCCAATTTTTAAAATAAAATGCCACACTATTAACTGCACACTTTATTATTTTTTTAAAAGCTAGACTTGGGTGATACACATACAAACTCTCCTATAAAACCACTACCCAAAGGAAAAGGATTCCTGCCATGCTAAAGAGGCAACAGACAAAGCAGTCTTATTGCTTTTTCCTAGGAAAAGGAGGAAAAAACGGAAAAAAACGGAAAAAAGAAGGAGCCTACAACCAGTACATTACATACTCAACTTCAACATACTGTTGCCATTACCTACACTTCAATAGGACTGGCGAAGGAAACTAAGTTATACAACAGAACGGCAAATTGGGGTGATTTGTTAAAAAATATTGGTTGGTTGCAGTGGCTTGCAGAAATGTTTATAAAACATTCCACTTATCTATCCAGTGCTCAGTATGCCGACAGTCAATGCCACATCAAGTATTATTAATGGGAATCTTTTCACATGAAAAAAAAGGCTATCTACATTTAACAGCATTTCTACTTTTAAAAGCTAGCGCGGGGAAACACCCTTTTTTGGATAGTAATTCAGCCTTAATAGTATATGGTAGGACACTTAATTCCAGGGCACAGTTAAGTAAGACCTGAACATACTTAGCTGGTTAAACTAACACTAATTACTAGTAATTACATGGCAGGGGACCTGCTGAGGTAATTGAGAAGTCCACAGTCAGCACGCTGCATACTTGTCGTCCTTCCTGTTTCAAAGCAAACTGCCTTTTTTCTTCTTTGGATTAACTTAAACTTTCAGAACATATACAACCAACAGGAGAGATTTGAATTATTATTATTATTTTACAGGAACATTTAAAATCAGAGCTCAAGAGTCAAATTAAGTGACAAGAGTATCTTGGGACCATTTGGAACCATAATAAACTTAAGTTATATTGTAATTATGCAGCACAGGTAAATCCATATCGCATGCAAGGGAAGCTCCACTATCCATTTCAAACCAGATACAAAAGTGTGTTCTCAATCCCAGTATAGCTCAGTTATTGCACAAACATCCATGGACTGCCAAATGCAGGTTGATCTTCAATGCACATTAAACATACAAGGTGGCAGGAAATTTACTCCGGCTGAACAAATCTTGCGAACACTAAGAAAAGTACACAATCTAAAAATGGGGCACGAAATGTATTTGTCTATTTCCTACCTTCAGGAATACATCCTAGTGATTTGTAAAATTTGTGTAGAACTTTCTGATCTACTACATTCCAAGCAGATAACCAAAGGGAAAGAGCAACCCAAAAACCAACGTGTATGAAAAAAGCTATTTATTCATTCTTTTGTAAATAATAAATCCTTAGAACTGCAAAACACTACCATTCTCTACCTGCACTGAACTTTGCAAAGTTGCAAGACTGCAAAAAAGTCAAACGATTGCCATATGCCACCAGCACCAGCAAAGCAGGTTCCTGTATATAGTTTAGTTACGTTCCTCAAAAGAACGGGTCTTCTACTTTTACATGTAGCATGGAAATGTGGGTGATTAGCCTAAGAGATCTGAAAAGAAAGTATGCTGACAAAATTGCAGCTTTCAGGTAATATGGAAAGCCAGGTTGTCAAAATGTTCTTCAAAGTACAGGAAAAATATAGATGCCATGGAAACTACAAAATACATAAATTTTAAGATTCATGGTGCATATTCCATTGCAAATTGGAACGCTAGAAAATACAGTGTATGTTATTAAGCACTTTGCTCTATACTGCCTTACTGACATGCAGCGGTTTTACCAAAATGTCAGTTAAAAGCACATCTACTAAACTTGTGGGAGCTTGTGAGAAAGTCAACACATTAACAGATGGAACAAGCTCTCACTTTTTACATATTATCACTTCAACTGAGCATAGATGGTAACATTCAAGCCCATCTGTGCCGGTTTTTTCCACATAAGAACTTCCTTGCTCCATTATTCTGTTCCCATATTTTCTTTTAATTTTTTGTGCTGTGTGTGTCTGTGGAAGGTGACCCAATGTACTGAAAAACATGACAGCCCAGTTTCAATGTTACCCTCGATGCATGGAAAAGACTTCATCCTAGGACTCGCTTCTACTGTTACAGCTGACCTTCCATCAGGAAAAGGAATGTTTGACCAAGTTATTAAAGAGGGCAATGATAATTATATTCAGATACAGACAATTTAGAATTAGTTAGGCAAAAACCTTTGGAAAACACCTTGTAAATCAAAAAATTCTGTTCGATGCTCCTACTTTAAATGCAATGTTAATGATACAAAAAAGTGAATCAAAGCCATAAAGTATCTTTTAACTACTTTCCCCAGTTATAGATCCAGTTACATCCTGTCTGCACACAGAAAATGAAAACACACATTTTTATTAAAATTCTCTGCATCAATGAAACAACACATTGTGCAATAGAATCTATTCATCAATTCCTTTATATGCTGTGAACCATTTCCCATGATGAATTTACTCAGTGTTACAGCAATTTACATTTTGGTCACCATTGTATGGTCTGCATTTCTGAAACTGTCGTAAAAATATGCTGTACAGGAGCAGAGCCGTAGCTAGGGGATGGTGAGGTGGGCCCCCGCCAGGGGCGCAGACGAGAGGGGTGTGTAAAATTGGCTGCTGAGACCCTCCGCCAGGCACCCTGTCCAGCCAGCGCTCCCTGCCCGAAGCCCAGGTACGGCAGGGAAGAGGGTGTGCTGGGCAGCGGCTGCTCTCGGCTGCCCCCTTGCCCCTCCTGGCAGCTGGGCAGTCTAGTGGGGGAGCCTGCGCATGCCCCAAGCGCCCCATCCCGTTTGGCCATGAGGCGCCGGCTCTGCCTCTCCCGGACCTCAGTCAGGGTCATGGCTGGGAAGGTCCACCAGCCTCAGCCCCTGACACTGCCTGGCCCACCTCACTGCCTGCGCCCCTGCCTCTCTGGGCGCGGGGGAGAGCCGCCAACTTCAAAGCCTGCCTACTTCAGAGTCGCTTCTCTCTCTCTCTCTCCTTTCGCACACCCTCCCTCAATGGTGCCAACTTGAATAAAATATATGGGGGGGCAGGTAAGCATCGCCCTGTAAAATCGACAAGACGGAGCACACACACACTAACTTAATGACAATGCTCATTAACTGGGGGGGGGGAACCTCCTCAAATATTTAAAGGGGGGGTCATGGAACCTTGGCCCCAAGGAGTTGGCTCCCATGCCCTTCTCCCTATTAAAGTGGGGTGCTCCCCACTTTATGCGATTTCACTTATGCAGGCAGGGGCCCGGAACATAACCTGTGCGTAAGTAGGAAAATGGCTATATAGCGCCATCTGGGTCGGCCTTACCCATCTTGGTGTCCTCCTTCAATAAGAATTCATTACAAAAAGAATGGGTGCAGGGTTGGGTTGGAGGAGAGGCAGAAAGAAGAGCTAATTTGTTCGTGGCTAGGGAGCGCAATCTGGACGGTTCTGCCAGGGGCGCAAGATCACCTAAGTACGGCTCTGTACAAGGGCTTGAAATTGTATCCTCTGGTGCTGTTCAATGCAGACCAGATAGGGAATTTTACCTGTTTGACATCAGATTACAATAACACAGCAATATTTCTGCTCTCGGTGTTTCCACTGAGACAGAACTGAAGAGCTTGCTTACATGCAGATTACCACAACTGGGGCTGGCCCATTTTCATCACCTACCCAGAAATCACTTGTCTGATACACTGGTCCATGCAAATTTTCTGTTTTAAGGGTGAACAACTAACTCTGTCTCAATAGACTCTTTTCTTGTCATTTAAGCTGCTTCTGAAGAAAACTCTGAGTAGCTCTAACGGAATAATAAAATGAACGTCAAACTATGAACTCAGTTTTAGAAATAAACAACATATTACAAATCTGTTCTTGATTAGGAACATTAGTAAGAATACATATTAGCTTAAAAACAGACTAGCAAATGTTGCTGTCTGAAAGGATTTACAATACCACTATTTACAAATAAGACAGAGTGAATACAGAAAATTTTACACATTTGGTAGTTGACAAAGTTACTGTTTGCTGATAGTGTTCTATCAGAAACTGATATTAGGGAAGACTGGACAGTCACCAACTATTAACTTCATGGTCTAATTCTGATATTAGGATCTATATAACCAGTATTGCAGCCAACATCCTGCCTTTCAAGGGAAGAAAAATAGGATTAATAAATTCCAAGAGGATACTCACTTAAGTATTCTGTGCATAGGACTTCCACTCAAGACCACGAAAAGCATTAACTGCAACCATACTTAATGAAGCACATATGAAGAACTTGCACTCCTGCATTCTCCAATTCAAAATGTTTTAATGATCAAGTCACGATACTTCTATACAGTCAGTAAAAGAAAGCAGAACCCAGCTATTTGACCTGACGCAGAATATGATACTCGCAATACCTCTTAGATGAGACGATGAATAAAAACAATCCAATTCACACCTAGGGTTGCATGAAGAGGATCTTGAGGAAGGTTTCTTGCAGTTTAAACTGCTGCCTAGCATGGAAGCAAACATGACTGCCTTGGTCCAGTCTTTCAAAAATGGTTACTAAGTAGTGACAAGAGTTCACTGTTCATACAAATGTTGTGATATAAAACTCGTTTCTTTATCAACATTCATCCCACACACAAATCTGAGAAATGAGGGAGTATTCTCAAGTGAAAAATGAAAATTCAAACACTAAAAACAAAAAAACCGGAACAGAAGTTGAAAGCTTTCCCCCCCCCTTTTGACAAGTATGTTTCTGTACAAATGCTTTTTGTATTCTAATACTGTCTGAACACTATCAGCTTCAATAAGATGGCCACTGAAGGCAAGATAATATTCCAGGAACACTTAAATATGTTTCTCTTTTTACAATAGTTTAGGTCCGTTTTAATCAGGTTACTTTATATGCACCGGTCTCTCATCCGATTTTAGACGTTTTCTACGCGGCTGTATAAAATCTTCATCGGAGTCATCTGTTATTTCAGCATCGTCCTCTTCTTGCTCAAATTCAGGTAAAGGCTGGAAGGTCCTGTCTGGGTAGATCTCTGTAAGTTTATCTTCAAAGTATAACGCAACTGCCTTCCCTGCCTGTGCTACTTCTGAATCACCCTGAAAAGTAAAAAGATAGTAACACATCACCCATTGGTAATGCACATCCCTTCAGCAAGTGAGCATGGTCTGAAACGCTTACCTTAAAATTAATTTCTTGTGTTTCTGCATAAACTTGAACAACTTTCATCATCTAAAAAGGATACCAGAGTCAAAAAAAAGGAAATTATAATCCCTTCTAAAGTCATGAGACCGCACAGGATTGGATGACTAAAGTCAACCATACCATTTTATTTTTAAAATTCAGTGATGTAGAGGTGACTCTCTTCATGAGGTGTTACTGCATTTGCAGTACACGAATCCTAAGCAAGTTATGTTACTGCAGAAACTGATACCAAGCACAGAAGACCAGTATTGTTTGACTCACAGAAAATTTATTCAGCAAACTGATGTGAGAGCTGTGACGTGGAAGTTCGGCAGTCATCTCTTTCATCCAAGTGCCTGAAAATGTCTCCTAAAAAATGGCCTAAGTGATGTGATATTTTTCTGTTGGGTCTTTGTCCACTTTGATGAACAAAATGTAACCACACATAGAAAGTAGTCCTGAACATTTGAGTTCATACTGCCGCAATAAAAGAGGCAGACATCCTCATTGCTGTAGTTTCCTACTGTAGCTGTAACTATTCACCCTTAAGAGCTGAAGCATTTTCCTTCCATAGCAAATGATTCAACTATTACTTAACATCCGTATGCTCTGAAACACACAGCTCTTCCACCTCACTTGTTTAGCTCAGTTAAAAAGGTCAATTCCCAACTGGTTTCAAGAAGTCTACCATGTGTAGTGACTCATACCCTTTTTGGCTTTACACTTTTATTGTTCTTATGTCTTGAAATAGAAAGCACAGGCTACTTGAATGCACCATGAAACAAGTGAAATTATAAACTGTAGAACACCATCAAGATCTGTCTCATTCCCTGCATGTCCACAAACAGTGTATGGTCACACATCACAGAAGTTTCTAAATTTAGTTTTTTAAGGATTAGTTTTAAGTGTGGAAACTATGGGTGACATCCAACTTAGCATGAGTAGAGATATCTGCTCACACAACTGGGCTTCTCCTTCCGTTCCTCACCGCTTACAGCCTCTGCTTTCCTGCTCTGGAAGGTTGGGCGTAAGAGAAAACAGAAGTCTTCTTGCACAAGTGAATTTCTATTGCACGAGCAGGTAGGCATCTTTAAATGTCTTCCTATGCCAAAATGACCTCCCATGTCCATATTAAGTATTTCCCTATCCATTGTTTTATTATTTTTATATTATTTTATGAATTACCCCATTATGTAGTTTATAAGTCACATTTTTGTAGGATGCGTGTGTAACAACTTTATGCTTCAGTCTGAGAGTACCGTACTTTAGAAAATACCATCTATAAAATGTCACATTCCAGACATGCACAATCATAGATGTTTTGTATTATTTATATTATATTAATGGATTTTTTGAACTGACATGCAACAGTAAAATGGGCACTCAAGTCGTGCTATTAGCTGGCAGCTCAAAAAATAATGAAGCCCAGCAGATTACCTTGTAAGATGAAGGGTCTTCCCAAAATAATTTGGTTTTGTGTGTAAAAATATCTGAGGGAGGTTTAGAACAGCACTGCAGGATCAGACAAATGATCCATCTAGTCCGTATCTGGTCCTAAGAATAGCTAGTCAGATGTTTTAAGGTGCAAGTAAATAAGGCATGGAGGCAACAGCACTCCTCAGCTGCATATCCTCAGACTTTAGTATTTAAAAATATACTGTTCCTAAACATGGAAGCTCCATCCAGCTATGTTGGCTGATCAATGGCTAACCATGAATGTCTAAACCTTTCACACTTTTATTTAAGGTTTATTTACTCTGCACCACCACTTCCCCAAACTGTTTACAGTTCACTTACAAGAGTTTATGTTTTAATGAAACAAATAATTTATATGGATATAATATATAAGTGGATATAATTGATTTAATTTATAAGTAAGATTACTTCTAGTTGTAATGGCTTGTTTTGTTTTCCACTGCTTTTACAGCTTTGCAGTTATCCCGTTAAGTGATTCCCTCAAGGAACTTGTCTGGGATAGTTTTATCATTTGGGTCTGCTCAGTTCAGGCAATAATGTGCCAGCATAGGAAGGTTTGCTCTACTGAAAACACAAGCAATCTTCAATCAAAACTTGCAATATATTTAGACAATACACAGATATTAGTCTCTTCCAGACATGATTTGAGCCATCCAAATACCAATTTCACTAACATGAAATCTGAAAATATGAGAAGCCAAGGAATTGTCTACAGATCACAGAGTAGACTGTATGTGAGTGGGCTATCCAAAACTTAAAACAATGAAAAAAGCCTATATGCATACATTAATATGCAAATAAGCACCACTCTGTAATCTGTCTACTATAAGGTAGGTTGACAGATCACATGAATAGGTATTTATATGCTTTGAACCCATTCACAGTAAATGTTCTATGCATAATTGGGGAAGAGCTCAAGACTCAGTTCTGTGCCCAACCATGTAAACATACAACCTATAGAGTGGCAGCCCTACATAAATGAACCACAAGTCTAGAACTCCTACAGCAGTTGTAACTAAAGTCTACGTGGAAAAGGTGCAACGTGGAATGAGCTTCGCATATTAACCAGAATGATTCTGCAGGTTGGAAGTTAACATACTTCATTAAATCTTTCACAGTTCTTGAAGATCAGCCGAACATCTGCCACAAAATCTTCAGGTGTCTGGTAGTGCTGGGAATGTTTCTTCTGCAGTTTCTTCTTCACTGTAGATAAATCCATTGGTTTCTTTATTATTTTATAGTAATTTGGTATCTGTTGAGAAAAGATGGAGGGAGTCACAAAAGTCAAAGTAAAGTGTATATCCAATGTGGTGGTATTTCATTTATGCAACAGTGAAATATTCGCAGAGAGAGAGATGGGGGGGGGGAGCGTGATAGATTCATTCTCTCTTTCTTCTGAGAAAAAATTAGTGGCCATCATGAGCTCTCTGGTTCAGTCAACTATCTTCATCCAAATGACTTTGTGAACAGATAAAACTACTCAAAAGACTGGCCAACAAAATAATAATCACACTGATTTTAGTCCAAGTTTCATTACGGCAATTTTGTCTGTCAATTGCTGGTTATTTCACATTCTATCATTTCCATGGTAAAATGCATGAAGTCACTCACCGAGGCAGGGACTGGCTCTTGGAATTCAATGCTCAGCTCGTGGCAATACAAGTAAAGCAGGAGGCGCTCACATTTCTTGCAGAGAGAAAAAAAACAGTAAATAATCATTCATTCATTCATTTGCTTATGTAACAAAATTGATATATTACTTGATTGCAATAAAACCTATTGAACTGTTTACAAGAGATCTTCCAAAAGAAGTAATTCCAAAAGGCAGCATTTCAGTTAATGTACAAGTTACAGGGGAATAGTCTATATAAAGGATTCTCTAAGCCCAACAACTGAAACAAATAAACCTCCTACTCTGCAGTAGCCTCACTAACTTCAACAAGACTACCTGGAACAAGTGTAGCCTGTGGTTAAGATTCAAAGAACCAGGCTACTAATTCCATGTGCCAAAGGGGGTTTTGGATTTATTTCCCGAACCAGCAGTACTACATGCCAAAACCTTTGGCGCTGCGGGAAGTTTTGACAGCAGTTTGATACAGCATGAAGAATATATTCTAAGCAACAAAAAGAGCCCACTACACTAGAACAAGCTCTTGAGCTCCTGACTAACCTGATACTTCAGGGAAGCACACAATCCAAGCACCATGTAGACAACCCACCCTTTTCGCCTCCACAAAGCTAGTGTTCAGGTTATTTACTGCCTCTGAATGTAGAAGCATTCTTCCTAGCTAAGCCAGCCACTGACAGATCTATCATCCAAAAAATGTATTCTTTCTAAAAGTTGCATATGCTAATGTCACAACACCCGGTGCAACATCTAAGGCACTGCCTGAAATATTCTGCCCATCCTGAACCTACCACACATTGTTTTATGTTATTAAATGCATAATTATCAATAGAATTTATCATGACATCAAATGACATCATAGTTTTGAGTTTTGGTGAATCATTATTCTCTTTTTTTTCCTCTTCCCTTAGTCATCAATGGTTTAGGAAACCATCAGAACAGTCCACTTTAATGACAATCCCAACTCAAACTGTTTAAGCTTTTAAAAGCCTTCTCCCATCAAGCTCGTTAAGCCTTTCTTAAGAGAAAGTCCCCTTGATAGTTTTGCCTCTGGGGTTTTGTTTTTTTATGGGAAACTGGTTCACAGACTGCACCTTCACTTGTGAGAAGGTGTCACAACCTTCTGTTGCATCCTCTTCTCAGAATGTACTTTGCTAATCCCATTTCAGTTAATTCTATGGAGGAAACTAAACCAGTTGTTCAAGACCATTGATGTCAAAAACTTTTAGTAAAAAAGCCATTGTCACAGGTGGCAAGACTATTTATTGTTTATAGAGTGATTATTTTACTTATTTTACAATTTCTATACCTGCTTTCTACCCCTCCACCCCAAAAAGGTACAAAAAGCATGAAAACAGCTATCAATGAAATATAGCATCAATGAAAATCAAACCATAAGCATTCTAACTGCTACAAATTGCCAAAGCCAGAGGATACAGCACCAGCTGTGAGCATCTCTCTCTGCAGCCACCAACTGCCATTACTGAAACCTACAGAGAGAGACAGAAGCAACAGCTTCATTGTGCTTCTAGCTCCATTGGGGTCCCTTCCAACTCTACAATTCTATGGTTCCATTACATGCTGAATTACTGCCTATCATAGAGATGTGAACAGCTTTGGAAAACAGAAAGTAAAGACAGTCTAATCATACCTAAAAGGAAGTGTTCAAAATTCCCAAATCTTTTCATCATTAGAGCACATGTTTCACAGACTGAGACAAGGGGGCCATCTAAGGAGGGAGCTGAAGCCAAGGTGGGAACTATACTGGTCGAAAAGGACAGCTCTTTGGATCACAGGTGAAAGGGTAAAAAAGGAAGATCATGAGGGGCACAGACTAGAAGCATTGCAAGAGGATTGTACTATAAATCATTTGGAAGAGCACTGAAGCTAAATTATCCTATGCACGTGAAAGTAATTATCTTTTGTAAGCCATCTTAGGAAAGCTGTGCCCTGAAGGAAGCCAGTATGTTCAATCATTCATTCAATCAATCAATCAATCAATCAATCAGAATGGAAACAAAAGTCAATTCTAGGAAAAACCCTTTTCTCCAAGTGAAAATGTCACATTTTCAATCCATTCTAGTCATCTGGATTATTTGGAATCTAGTAGTCTAGATGATTTCTGATCTCTTGTTCATGATGCGAAAGCTCAAACAATTAGAGTAGACCCCCAACATAGCCATAAATATTAAAACCAACTGCCATTTAAAAACTGGACTATCTCCAATAATAATTTCATTTCTTACCCTGCTATAGCAACATGCACCCACTTACTAATTAAAATATAGATATATAGTAAAGTTACCCATGTAAATGAAAGTATAAACTAAGTCAAGAGACCACAGCAGAAGAAAAGCCAAGAGCATTTAGTTAAGAACAGTTCCAAAACAAGATAAATGTATTATCCGTAACCTACCCTTTGGTCCACAGGACTCAAACCTTGTGCAGTTTTCCCCTTCTTACTATGTTGTAAGTTGTCACAGTCATATTCCACTTCGGGTTTGCTAAGATCACGGCAAAATGTACATATCCAGTCTCCACTAAAAATGGGGGAAATATAGTTCAGAAATTCAGGCATTTTTTTGTACTAGTGTGCTGAAAAATCTACAGGTAGAAAATCCATTTTTTTGTAACTAGAATAAATTATATTATGCACAGGTCGTATATGGTTGTCCTGTTTGCACATTTTCCAGGCAGGAATTACATTCTTCCTACATACATCCTATTTCTTCAAGAAATGGGAAAGAGGCACTGGGAAGACCTGGCATGTTCAGGGATTGAAGACAACAGGAAAGTTTCATGGAGCCCAAAGGCTCTAGACTGAACAGGTTCCTATTCTTGTCTAACACTGACATTTAACCTCGCCTTGATCCATGTGCAGAGGACAAAAGCGCTGCCAATCCTTCCTCTGTCCCCAGAAATTACACAGCCCATCAGTTGCCCTACAAAGTGCCTCCAACTGGTAGGAGCTGATAGGTAGGGAAAGACAGTGACTTGCTCTTTTACCGGCAGGTTCCAAACCCAATCCAGGTGGATCCCACTGCTGCCTCCTGATGAAACCTAGAAACAGATCTCTTCATACTTGTCCTCCTTACTAGACCCAGAATCATGCCTGCTTGGCCCAGCCCAGATGCCACAAACATGTGGTGCATAGCAAACACTGAGGCAAATGCAGCCTCCTCAAATTTGCCACCCCGATAGGCAGTTACTGGATGGTTGTCCATGAAGGAATACAGCCCTAGAGCTGAAAAAGGCTTCCCATCCCTGCTGTTGGCTGACAGAAGATAGCTGATGCTGCTATCTCACTGTGACTAACTCAATGTTCCTGTATGTTTTCATACCTTGGGAAGCTGAGGAGAGTGGGTACATGACATGTGAGGTGGAAAACTTTAGGGCACTTTTCGCAACATAACAGGTCTCCTCCATTTTGGCACACAGCACACCAGTCTTCATTGGGATCTTCATCTTTGTTGTTGCCTTCTCCTCCAGATCTAGCTGATCGATGCATGAGGCTACGCACTGGGGACTTGCCATTTACAAGACTGTGTCCGGACTGTTTGCAGCTTTCACTCAAGTCCGCTGGTTCAGTTTTAACATGGTTTTCTATACTTCCCAGTGCTTCCAATTCACTCTCCAAATGCAAGTTTGTGGAAAGTGGTGGAGTCAAGCTGCTCTCAGGACTGCTAAGCTGAAATAAAAGCAAAAGATTAAAATCTATGAGAAATTGCCTTGGGTAGGAGACTGCTGCCTTTTCCACCTTCCTTTCTCTGCTCCCCACCCCCTTCAGCCCCTGCCTACCTTCTTTATTATAACATAGGCAATCTAATCTGTCCTCCATGTCTCTCAAACCTGTACTGGTAGGAGTTTTTTCCCAATTGGCAAATTGGCACCGGCCTCTTGGTTTTTTTCGCCTACCTCGTAGCAACCGTCACAACTTTGGTGGTATTTGGCGGTTAGGCATTGGAATGTGTTGTTGCTGTTTGGGAGGGTAAGGTGTGGCCATCGCCTACCCCTTCAATTTTGGGTATTCCGTTAAAGGAATCCGGCGGTCGTGGATCCCGTCCGATGCCTGTGTGGCGGGGGGCCATGGCACGACCCTTGGTGACATCAGGGGAGAGCTTATAGTTGTATTAGCATCAACAGGCTCCTCCGACTGGTGGTTAACCCCTCTTCAGACTCACCCCTCTCCGAGTGGGTGGAGTCCAATTTTCCGTGGTCCAATGCCTAAGCCAATACCTTCTCACATGCTGTAATCAATAAAGTTGTGGCCTTTTCTTGCCCATTAACCTAATATATCGTGTCCACGTGTTTTTATTCCCCAAGTGGGGATCGGGTCCTCGAATCACAAGTCACAGTTACATTTTTTTTCTTTGAATGATTTGTACATCTTACTGACCTTTTACAGTTGCATTCTCAAAATTGATAAAACATTTTTTAAAAAGATGAAGCTGGGGTAGACTGTAAACAAAGAATGTCAACAAAAGGGAAATGTCAACATGCACATGCATGTGCAGACAATTCTCAGACAGGTTGTACAGTTTTCAGTGCACTATATCTGGTAAATATTTTAACAAGCTTAAAATATTTTGAAATAGGAGGCCTGTTTTGAATTGTGCAAGGGGATGGGAACCCAGCAATACTGGCTCTACACAATTCCTATGGAAACTAGGTACTGTATTGCTTGCTTCCTCTGTGCCAGAAATTACTAATTTTGAAGGGTCATCTCTGACGTGGCAAATCTGTTTCAAACTAGTCCCATGTGAAACTCTCCAAATAACTCCTGAGTTAGAAAATGAGCATTGGAATGACTACATGCCTACTTTTTCTATAACGTATTATTAAAAAATCTAATAGTATCATCACTCTTGGCCAAAGAAAAGTGGCATTGTAACCTACTGCACAATAACAGCTGAGGAGGAGGAGGGAAGCAGTGACCCTCATGGTGTTGGGAAGCCAGGAGAGCAACTGAGCCCCACCTGTATCACCTCACTGGCCAATACTGCAATGTAGGGAGAGAGAGAATTGGGCAAGCCCTAAGGGGGTGGGCTTGGGAAGTAACACAACTTTTCTAAAACAATAAAATATAAATGCCCTCAGTTCTCTTTGCTGATAGTTTGTATGATAAATTGTACAACATACAAATAGATTTTTACCATGCAAGCGCTCCTCCTGCCATCCTCTGTTTTTTCTTGCTTCACTGGTCCCGAGTAACTGCATACCTCTTCTTCTGTGCCTGGTTCCTGTTTAACTTTCACATGTTCAGTCTTGAAACTAATATTGTTCTTTTCCACAGTTCGGCCTGATGAGCCACAGCTGGAAAGCAAAGAGATTAAGCACACATTTTAAATTGCACTTCAAAATGCTAGAACTAAAATAATTAAAAATTCCATATAATTAGTGAAAGCAATTGTGCCCGTAAGTGGATAAAGCACTTGGTTAGGAGGCATCATAACCAAGTTGGTTTTTACAGCTGTAGAAGTGGTTCGAAATTAGAGAGGGAATGGATTTTTAGCACTTTACCAAACATAAAATCAGTATTTCCTAAATATCAAATCTGCCTCTGTCATTAGAGTCTGGTATGGAGAATCTTTTGAGAGAGATATACAAGCTGTTCAAATTTCAGAAAAATTGCTCACTGAAATTTAAACATTCTAGCTAGAGGAGTTAGGGTCTTGTTTCCTGATCTTTTTTGCTGATAAAAAGCATACCTTTCAAAAATCCAAGTATACCACTGAAGAGTCCCTTTCACGGACTTCATGCACTGTTTTTAAAGTGAGAAATTCAAGACTTCTATAAGTTTGGTAAGGTGGAAATTCCCTTTCAAGAATGCAGAGCTGATTTTTCCTCATCAACGCTTGCTTCTTTAGATGTTCAATAACCACAGCTCTTACAAGAACCCCAACGCAGGGGCTTCAGTTTACACAATAAGGCAGGCTTCCTCAACCTTGACCCTCCAGATGTTTTTGGCCTACAACTCCCATGACCCCTAGCTAGCAGGACCAGTGGTCAGGGATGATGGGAATTGTACAGTGGTGCCTCGCAAGACGAAATTAATTCATTCCGCAAGTTTTTTCTTCTTGCGAGTTTTTCGTCTTGCGATGCACGGTTTCCCATAGGAATGCATTGAAAATCAATTAATGCGTTCCTATGGAAACCGACTTCAGACCAGGTCCGGGGACAATCTGTCCCCCGACCTCTTCTGAAGGCTGGGGGGGGGCGAAAGCCTTTGCTCCCCCCCCCCCCACGGCAGCATTTTAAAATCGCCCCGGACAGCGGAGGACTTCTCCGCTGTCCGGGGCGATTTAAAAGCCCTCCCGGGAAGGCAGCCAGGGGGACAAAGATTTTCGCCCCCCGCCAGCCTTCCCCTCTTTTGAAGCAAGGGGCGGCAACGGGGAGAAGATCGCTTCTCCCCTTTGCCGCCCCTTGCTTCAAAAGGGGTCCGGGGAGAGAGAAGGCGCGCACCTTTTCCTCTGTCCCCTCTTTTGAAGCAAGGGGCGGCAACGGGGAGAAGATCGCTTCTCCCCTTTGCCGCCCCTTGCTTCAAAAGGGGTCCGGGGGGAGAGAGAGGAAGGCGCGCGCCTTTCCCTCTGTCCCCTCTTTTGAAGCAAGGGGCGGCAACGGGGAGAAGATCGCTTCTCCCCTTTGCCGCCCCTTGCTTCAAAAGGGGTCCGGGGGGAGAGAGAGGAAGGCGCGCGCCTTTCCCTCTGTCCCCTCTTTTGAAGCAAGGGGCGGCAACGGGGAGAAGATCGCTTCTCCCCTTTGCCGCCCCTTGCTTCAAAAGGGGTCCGGGGGGAGAGAGAGGAAGGCGCGCGCCTTTCCCTCTGTCCCCTCTTTTGAAGCAAGGGGCGGCAACGGGGAGAAGATCGCTTCTCCCCTTTGCCGCCCCTTGCTTCAAAAGGGGTCCGGGGGGAGAGAGAGGAAGGCGCGCGCCTTTCCCTCTGTCCCCTCTTTTGAAGCAAGGGGCGGCAACGGGGAGAAGATCGCTTCTCCGCGTTGCCGCCCCTTGCTTCAAAAGAGGTCCGGGGAGAAAGGGGAAGACGCCAGCATTTTAAAAAACCTCAGGACAGCGGGGGACTTCTCCGCTGTCCGGGGCGAATTTAAAATGCTGGCGGGCGGCAGCGAAGCCTTCGCTGCGCCCGCCAGCATTTAAAAAACCTCGGGACAAAGGAGAAGTCCCCCGCTGTCCCGGGGTTTTTTTAAATGCTGCTGGGCGGCAGCGCTGCCGCCCGCCAGCATTTTAAAATCGCCCCGGACAGCGGAGAAGTCCTCCGCTGTCCCGGGGTTTTTTAAAAAACCTCTCCGCCCCCGCCAGGCTTCAGAGCAGCCTTCCGAAGCCTGGCGGCGGGAGGAGGTCCGAGGACAGTGGGCAAGACGCCCTGTCCCGGAGATTTCCCTATGGGCTTTTCGTCTTGCGAAGGAAGCCCATAGGGAAATTCGTTTTGCGAAGCGTCTCCAAAACGGAAAAAACCTTTCGTCTAGCGGGTTTTCCCGTCTTGCGAGGCGTTCGTCTTCGCGGGGTACCACTGTAGTCTCAAAACATCTGGAGGGCTGAGGTTGAGGAAGCCTGCAATAATGCATCTTCCCTCTCCTTCCCCAACACTCTCTCCTCTGCCTGGTGGGTGGTGATGGTCAGCAGAACCCCCAGAACAGCAGGAGGAGAAGGGAGGATAATGCCATCTGGCAAGCTGAAACGCTTTCACTGATGGAACTATCAGAAGAGCGCAATACTGCATTCCTCTCACAGTGGTACCTCGCAAGATGAATGCCTCGCAAGACAAAAAACTCGCTAGACGAAAGGGTTTTTGGTTTTTTGAGTTGCTTCGCAAGACGATTTTCCCTATGGGCTTGCTTCGCAAGATGGAAACGTCTTGCAAGTTTGTTTCCTTTTTCTTAACACCGTTAATACAGTTGCGACTTGACTTCGAGGAGCAACTCATAGCACGCGGTGTGGTAGCCTTTTTGGGGGTTTTGAAGACTTTGGTGATTTTTGAAGCTTTTCCAAAACTTTTCCGAAACCGTGCTTCGCAAGACGAAAAAAATCGCAAGACGAAAAAACTCGCAGAACGAATTAATTTTGTCTTGCGAGGCACCACTGTATTGTACTTTCACATATTGTGCTAATTTTCAGCAAACGTTTCATGCATTTCCCCTTCATGTTTCAACCCTCTAGATTAGGAGCAACGATGAAGTTAAGAATCACCACAGTGGCAGTGGCCCCCTTGCTGTACATTGGCCCCCTACATTCCATATATGAACAGACTAGTTCACATTCAGGAACAACAGGCTATGTAAGGCATAAATAATAACTTTGGTGGTCTTACTTTTGCTTCAACATACGCAGACAGGGCTCTAAAGCATGAGGTTCATTATCAACCTTTTTATATATAATTTACAAGCATATATATTATTAAACATTGATTTAGAACTTACCCCAAGTGGCTGTTCTCCTAACCTGTACAGCAAGTGATCGGAAACCTCGAATCTACCAGTCTCTCCACAGGTTTTACCTCCTCCTAGGCCACTGTTTCCCCATAGTTGACCTACTACCTTCTGATCAGCTAAGCAGCATTGGTGGGAGTGAAAACTGTGAAGTGGGGAGATTTAAACCTTCCCTTCCTGAGATCCCCACATTTATTAGGTAAAAACAGAGGAGCAACAGGGAAGAAGGGACATGGCTGAGTCCCCCTGCCCAGCTGCCCAGGGAAGAAAAGAGCAATCTTCCTCCATGAACCGCTTGCTCAGTTTCCATGCTGAGAAAGAAACTGTCTCAGTGAACAGCTCAGAAAGCAAAGCAAGGTATGTGTGTGTGTATGTAGAGATATAGACACATACACACAAAACACACACATGTGAATCCTTTGGCCCTATTTAATTTGTGCTTTGGCTCCCTGCCACCCATGTTCTGTCGTCAACTACTCTGTTCCCCTGTGGTAGAGGATAGAGGTGGCGGCCGAAAGACCAAAAGAAAGTGTGTGTGCACATAGAGCCTAAACTGTAAACGATCAAAACATGAGAGACTATATAATTCATTTCCTCTTTATGTGGTGCAGTGGTCAAAATGGGAGCTTTACAATTTCCATATTTTTTGGCACATGATTTTTAAAAGCCTCAATGTGCCTCTTAAACGGGATTTTTAAAAATCTTGTAATATGCATTTCGTTCTCTATATACTTCAATAACTTAATAGCTGGTTTTGAAGCCATTCAACTCACCTGCCTCTACTGCCCGTGCTGGAAGTACTAGGTGGCCTCACAGGGGTGTGTGAATTGGATAAACCTAAGAAGGATGAATCATTGTTTACACCAGCAGCATGAGCTGTATAACTGCACATCTACAGTGATGCAAGCGATATCCTATGTATCAGCACAGACATTACCACTGGTAATAAAATAATTCAAAACTTCTACATTCAATGTCATTTCACGTTAATTAATCTCACAATTTCCCCCCTTAAATGAAATAGTTGCTCTGATTCCTTACGTCTTAAGTCAAGCCCTAAATTATTTCTAATCCTAATTACTTTATTCTGATGCAACTATCATAAAAGAATATTAATGACTGCATATTAACCACAAAGATACGATACATTTAAAGAGAACCTACACTAATATAGGCTGACAACCCTGGGAATAATCAGAGACAACTGAAAAGGTTGGAGTGCAGAGTAAAACGGGACTGAATGCTTATTTACTAGCAATACATTTTTAAAGAGACCTTACACACTGTGAAGTATGAAGTATAATTCAGAGCAATTTTAGTGCTGCCATTTGTCCAGGTGTGTAGAGAAAGGTCTATAAACCCAGTTTCTCCTCCTCTCATGATTTTGCACTTACTTCCAACATTCCACAGCAGTGGCACAAATAGGCAAGTTATGCTAGACTGAATTTTCACAGTGGCAGATGAATTTCAAGAACAGGACTTCAATTGCACTCTGGCACAGAATATTACACAGCTGCAAGACTATATAAATAGTACAGAAGCACCAGAGCATGGAACAGATATGAAAAGAGATTGCTGTTCAGCTCCATACTAGCCATGACAATTGCACTCATTTTATGAACTATTGTTGTATATTATGATATTGTGGTTTTACTGCTTTGGTTTTCTGGAAACTGCCTTGGAAACAATGACGATGGGTGGTACAGAAAACTTAATTTTAACGCTCACAAGATTAAAGCCTGTAGTCACAATGCAATAGTTGCTGGTATGTACTTTAAAACTATTGCGCTCATGAGCCACAATAATACTGTTTTAAATCTATTTCTACTTGCAACTTGTTGAGCAGGAATCTTTTTGCTGCACAGACTGGGTTACTCTTTCTAGTGAGCTGGTGGCTACAATGCTGTACTCCTTTTTAAAGCCCTCTCATTTACAGGTTATTTCATGAAGGGGGAATTATTTCATGCATAAAAATTGGGCTAAATCACAGCAATATAAAAGGTACAGACACTGGAAGAGAGAAAGAAGTGCTCATCAGCATTATTGCAGAAGTTACTAGAAATAACTGGATGAAATTAAAAACAGGGATGTTAAGACCTGAGAAAATGTACTGGAAACATCAAATTTCTTTAAAGTATTTGGAGCAGTCATTATTAAAGTTGTTGGTTGCTTTAAGCAGGTCTCAATTTAAGCAGAAATGTACAGATGCCCACTGCCTCTTCCCAGCTTACCTGATGAGCCTGGAGACAGGGCTGAGGGTCCAGGGGAGGGATTCATACTGCTTATAGGCTGAGGGGGTAGATGGCTGCCTGCGATATACCTACTTAGTAAATTATCTAAGTTACTGGAACCAGCATCTTCCAGCTGAAATAAAGAAGGACAGCCACACAGTGATTCTGCCAAGTCTAAATGCAGCATGCTAGAAATGACAGCTTGAGGATCATCTGTATTTTCACTGAAGGAGTTTAAAGCACTAGCACTTATTCACATAATAAGGGGAAACAAACAGATGAATACTCAGTTTTGCCATATTTGTATTTGCTATATTCCTGCATGTGTAATCAAGGAGTCTAGGAAATGACATGGCTACAAACTATTAATAAACTTTAGCATAGAATATTTAGCAAAATCTTAGAATTCGATGAGTTTTAAGAAGCAAGCTTATTTCAAACTCAGTTGTCAATACTGATGCATAAGTTTGTGTCAGAGAGAGGTCTACATTCAGAACAACTTCCACTCTCTGCTTATGGAACTCATTCATTGCACCTTATATTTTACTCACAAAGTTGCCCTGATTTGTATGTTTTAACTATCTTATTCAAATATAGGACAATAAACATAGACAGGGAGAAACTATATGATTTCAATATTACTAAGAGGGTTGCCATTAGAATGGAAAATATATCATATTTTTTTAAAGCTGATCAGGGTGGATGGCAAAAATAGTTTAGGATACCTGATCTAGTTTTAAACAAGAATACATTTATTTTGTAGTAGGGCTTTTCCTTCAAGTAAGGTCCAAGGGTAGCACTGACCCATCAATAATCAACACTACGGGAACTTCATGTAAAAGTGGGCAGGGCCCAAATGAAAAATATTGTGTGGCCTTTTTTTTTTAAGGACACAGTTTAGGGAGGTTGTGAGGGAGTTACAAAAGCAATTAAGTGAAACCCCCAAATAAAACAACACATTTTGGCATGATAGTAGAAGTGTTTTAGAAATTAAAAACACACTTTTAATGGACACATTTGGAAAGCCTTGTGTATGTACCTGTGGGCTGGGAACAAAAAACCTTGTTGCATCACTGCAGAGGACCCATAGAAGCATATGGGGATGTTAATTCATTAAATGACAAACTGGGAGGACACAAAAAAAGCCATGTGGCCCATGAGTTAGCAATCCCTACCTTAGTAGACATACAGATGAACTGAAAACATTTCCTGCATTTTAGTTTCAGTGCAGAATAAATTCAGACACAGGTTTCAAAAATCATAAATGCCGCCCCCCAGCAAAAAAAGATTCTAAACAAGAATACTGATACTAAATGGTGTAAAATGTAATGAAAGAGTAAAGCAGATTAGGTGGAGACACAGTGATTTGTCCAGTGAGTTTCATAGCTGATTAGGAAAACAAGACGATTCTGGTCAGTTTATGAGAAGATGACCCAAGTCCAATGTACCTTTACAATACAGTTTTTTAAGTGTTGACACGAAACACACAACTGATATCTAGAAATTCTGATGTCGTATTATTAGCTTTCATCTGATTTCATATAGCATACTAACCTGTATAGGAGGAATATCTGGCAAGGAAGGCAAATTTTCTGGGTTGGTTACTGATGGAATAAGCTCTATCGCTGCAACAGATGGGCTTGTTGGACCACGGTTCGCATTGGCCATGGTGGCTGTTGTAGGGCTTGTTGGGTTGATAGTATTATTGTGCACTGAAACAACTGGGAAGGGACCTGCATGTCCTGGGTTTGAATGCTGCCAAGACAAAGGAGAGGGGGAAGCAAGAGAGAGAAAATATTGTTATGATAAGGAGCAAGCTCTTTCCTATGCAAAACTGGAAATTTTCAAAGCTTGTTGCTTTCCTGCAATTCTCTCCATGAGTTTCCCATTGCTGATAATTGTTTTAAACCTTCTAAAACATTTTGCATTTTATTCACTTTTTTATAGGTCAGAAGGTTCCATAGAAATTTTAAGCATAAACTTTTTCTCCTCTTTTTAAAACCTTTTTGCAAGCTTTCTACTCCCCCTGAATCGGAGAATGTAACAAATTATTCCCATATTAACATGCTGGTTATCCAGCCAAAAGGCAATAAAGTTGTGAAAGGTAAAATGTGGCTGCAAGTGCATTTCATTAGATGCTCCATTAGCTTAAATACTCTGCATGTGGCTAGTAATATCCAAATTTTTACAAGATTCCTATTATGCGGCTCTTTAAACAGCCAGCAACATGGAAGTAGATGTCCCTTTAAAAGAGGTTTCACAGCTGATATATATACATAGAAGGCGAGCTGAATCAAAAGTCCAGAATCAAAGATGGGAAACAAAATGTGCACACAGCATATACTTGTCTTTGTAAGTGTGGCTGCATCATGTACTGGGGCCCGTTGTGGCGCGGTATCCCTGGGAGACGAGCAGTGTTCTGAGCCATTCTCATCTGGTGGGCTTGGAAAGCACCGCAATTCATTCCCCTCTGCATGTTCTGCATACTTATCAACCTCGGAGGCTACAAAACATTATGTATTTTAAAAGATGAGATAAAAGCAGTCCTCTTTGCCAAGTGAAGTAAATGAAGATGCATCTTTGTGCTTTACAAGACAGCGCTGTAAATCCTACCTTAAACTTTGTGGAATAAGGTAGAACTCAAAGTGCCAAAGGTGCACTTTAGTGTCTACAATGAGTGTCTTAATTTAGATCATCTGAAACTTGCCTGTTGCTGCAGCATCTGTGGGCCTGCCTGGCGAGGAATCTGCCCTGCAGGCTGCCCCATCCTCATCTGTTGTAACTGCTGGTGTTTTTGTTGTGCGTACACCTGCTGTTGCATATGCTGGAGCCGAAGCTGTGCAAGATTAATTTGCGGTGGAGGTTTGCTGATGTGGTTTGTTCCCGGAGGAACTTGTCCCACTACTACATTAGGAGTATAACCTTGGGTTGGTTTGTTTTCAATAACAAGATTACCTAAACAACAGGAGAGAGAATTCGTCAATCACAAAGTTATTAATTTTAAGCTAAATGTTAACAGTCTAGAATTTTTACACTATGTACACCCTAGCTTCACAGCCGCTAAAAAGTTAAAAATAAATGTACTTTTAATCAATATATTCAGAGACTGGTAATTATTTGCACTTCCTTATTGGCTTTAAATAAGATATTGGTTCTGATGTACCCATATCTTACCTTAGTTTTATGCATAAAGATACATCACAATCAACGTCATGCAACACATTTTTGCAACAAAGTAATTTTGTGTCATCAATAAGCATTCAATATTTTATGAACTCATTTCCAAAGCATTAGAAGGAAAAAGACCTAAATACAGAGTAATTATTGCTTGTGCATAATATGCAAATTATATATTGTAACTTTAAGCATTCTAGAGATTTTTAAAGGAAACACATTTAATACTTAAGAGACTAAAAGATGAAGACAGAAAATCATACAAATATAGCTCTGTAATTTTTACACCAGAGGCCTTTTGCAAGTGGTGTCCGGGTTATGGAATATCCTCCCCATAGACAATTGCCTAGCTCCCAGGCTGTAGTTTTTTTGATGCCAGGTAAAAATCCTTCCCTCAATCTTTTCATTTTTAGAAACATGTTTAGGTGCCTTGGGACCATTAGAACATTGTTCTGGTTTTTGCTGGCTTTATTTGGATCATTTTTTATTTTATAGCCATGCTGTATTTTATGTGGGGGGTTTTTTATAAAAAAAGTAAGATAATTTGCTGTTTTCTGTTAATGCTGTAAGTATATAAAAAAACCTCAGAACATTTATAACCATTATAGGATAATAGGGGCCTTGTGTTTCTTTACATGTAAGAGTCTTTCAATTATAATCACATTAAACAAATTATCTTTCTGATTCAATTAAGCCGGCACGCTAGCAGAAGTCAGCACAAGGGCTCTCAGTAGTGCAACAGGGCTTTCCCCTCACCTCCCTGCCACCTCCTCCAATTCCACTCTGAAGAACTGGGAGAACCCCCAGAACATTGTGCGGAGAGGAAGGAGGAGGTTGCTGAAATGCTTCAGAAGACGGAACAATCAGAAGAATGCAAGGTTTAATTCCACCCCTTGTCTTGTGCAGTGACACTGAGCTGAAATACTGCAGTGTCCCTTAATTCAGAACTACACAACAGCCAGCTATGTCCTTGCTATCAAAGATTAAGTTGAGCAGTGAGAGATGCTTGCAAAGATGCTTGAAAGTTATTTGTAAATAAGACCACGCTGTTTAGCAATATGATTTTTCTGTTTCATCCTTCAAACAGGAATTTGAGTGATTCACAACTTTAACACAAGTATGGGGAGACTGTGATCCTCCAGATGTTGTTGGGACTCCCTCTCACCAGCCTCAGCCAGCATGGTCAAGTTCAGGAATGATAGGAGTTGTAGAACACCTAGAAGGCTATAGGTTCCCCATCCCCATTTTTACATTTTAAGTACTGTGCCCCAGGTTCAAAAGACTATATGGGAAGCTTCTGAGCACGTACTAATGCCTTTTACAGTACAATTTTTCAAACCACAGACCTCTGACACAGCTGAAGCAGCAAGAGTTATAGGAAGTCCTAGCGTGCATATAGAGTCGCTTGCACACGCCCAACAGACACTTGTCTCTTGGACAGTCTCTAAGCTGGTTTTACAGAAATCCAGATTAATGCATCTTAAAATACTTATAATGAACTGAATTTGTGTCACCAAAGCAGAAGACAAGCATCTCAATTCTCCATTTTAGCTAAAAGTTTTGCATTTGTTAGTTGTTCAAGAAACTTTCTGCAAATTAATGTGAATTGTCTGATAAATGTGTAACTACCCCTCTGCATTTTTAAACAAGCAAGATCTGTTTTCTTTTGCCCAGTTCTGCCAGTCTGTCCTTTTCTTGATCATCTGAATTATAAAACTAGTAACTTCCTCGAAGCTATTCTACTATAAGTTGCAATGATTTGTGTACCTGGTTATTTCTTACATGAACCATAATTCTTAATCAAAATACTTTTAGATTTTCTTGCATCACAACTTCGACTCAACTTTAGTAATTCTAAAACAAATACAAGACCACACACCCACTATTTATTGAATGGAGGTCTAAAATTAATTATAACTTAGAAATCTTTTCTTCGGTGCTACTGGAGCCAAATCAGTGCTTGCACTCCAGTACCATTAACCACAATGGGAGACCCCTCTCTTAACAGTTTATTTAGGAACTTGACAATGACACCCACGGTTTCCCCCGGTTTCAGAATTATCCTTGCATTGATTCTAGAGATTTGTTCTAGTCATATGCATTTGTCAAAGGCCGTCCTCATCACTCTTCATTCTTCAGTAAATTAAAGACAAGATTTATTGATTTATTTTTACTTTCTGCTCCCTCTAGGATTCCTCTGAAAATATTTTTTTTTAATGTAGTTTCCAAGACTTCATTTCCAATACCTTTTTCAGTTCCCAATGTATAGCCCCAATCCAAAGGGCCGCATGATGAGCTCTGCACATGTAGTGGGGGGTTCCGATACCTCCCCCTTTCCAGAAGCATCCCCTCACAGTGCCCAACAAGCTGCCCTGAAGCTTGAGGAACCTCGAAAGTGTCCTCCAACAGAGTAAGAGGAGTTGCTGCTGGAGAAGAACACGGGGAAAACCTGGTATGGACATGTAAGCCTTTGTACACACCTAAGAGGCTCTAATCTATTTTGCTCAGTATACTATACTGGCTCTTAATTATCCAACCAACAAATTCTCTCATCAACGTTCTCTGTTCTTTTATATTACTTGTAGTTACTATGGGGAGGTATATAAGTCTAACACATGAAGGAAGGGATTTTAATACACAAACATGGATCTAAATGGGATTTTGCCTGCTATTGCCCTTTCTCCTTATATATGCCAAAAGCTGGAGAGCCATGCATGAAGGTACAGTGGTGCCTCGCAAGACGAAAAGAATCCATTCCGCAAGTCTCTTCGTCTTGCGGTTTTTTCGTCTTGCGAAGCAAGCCCATTAGCGGCTTAGCGGATTAGCGCTATTAGCGGGCTTAGCGGATCAGCTGATAAGCGGCTTAGCGGATCAGCTGTTAAGCGGCTTAGCGGATCAGCTGATAAGCGGCTTAGCGATCAGCTGTTAAGCGGCTTAGGGGCTTAGCGGATCAGCTGTTAAGCGGCTTAGCGGATCAGCTGATAAGCGGCTTAGCGGCTTGGGAAAAAGGGGGGGAGGAAAAAAAACCTGCAGGAACTCGCAAGACATTTTCGTCTTGCGAAGCAAGCCCATAGGAAATTCGTTTTGCGAAGCACCTCCAAAACGGAAAACCCTTTCGTCTAGCGGGTTTTCCGTCTTGCGAGGCATTCGTCTTGCGGGGCACCACTGTATAGATTTCCCTCCTGTGAAGCTGTCTCTCACTTGATACTAGAGCTTTGCCATGCCAAAGAACGCATGCACCTTGCTCAGTCATTGCGTCACTGAAAGAATCTTGTTTTCACTCATTCTAATCTGTCGCTATAAGGAAGGTTAATAAGTCTTTAAAGCCAAAATATCCTGCCAATACCATGCAAAAGTATTTTGGGACCAGTTGGAATCTGGTGCCCAATTTTCTCTTAGAATATCTAAAATGTGCTGCTAAAAGTTCTGGAAATTTTTCAGCTGGTATAAATATTATTCATATTACTAAGTCTACAGGACAAATACTAGACTGAGTTTTCCATCTCTTCCTATTGTTTTCTACTTCTTTGTTTACAGAAATACGGCAACTGAGTTGCAGCCTAACATACTAAGAAGTTTGGAACAAACAAGTCTTCTTTCAACACCGGAATGTGGGCTACCAGATCTGACCCTCAATTGCTTTCCCCTTCAAGGAAGCACACTGATTGTAGACTGACACTTTCCAATGTCCTTTATTACCAGAGAGGAATAGAAGGGAATGACCAACATAGTACATGGAATCACTACTGATCTATACAGAGCAATCGTGCATGTAGTTCAGGAGACACTCTCCACTCCTCCGTCATCACCACTGTCATGACCCGACCCTCCCTTCTGTGGTGCCTGCTCATCACTCCACCTCTCTTGTCACAGTGCTTTCTTAGAAGACTATTAAAGCTAAAATCTGGAGAAGCATCTGAAGTAGCCTAACACCACCGTATTCAATGATTAACAGCAGTGCAGCACTACCTATTAAGGTATATCAATTTCCAAGTGAATAACGATGCATCCAGACTGTAGAGAGAACTATTCTAGTGACAGGGAGTTGCATGCAAAGCAGAAGCATAGTTTGAGAGAAGCATCTGGGTAGTGGCTGCATATGTTATAAAAGCTTTGGCTCGGATCCAACCCCATACAAGCAAACAGATGACAGTTCATCATGTGCACAGGAGAGGAGAGGACTTGCCAAACAAGGGGAGTTTGGCTTAATGTCTGCTTAAAGTCAGATAATTTTATACAATTATACAGTGGAAAAAAGCTTCCTGGTATGAATGGATCCAAGACACTACCACCAATTTTAGTGGTAGTCTACAGAAAATTCTATCTAGTTCATGCTACTCATCATATTAATAATTTTTGCACATTAAATTCAGCTTTCATAAAAATGGAACACCCTCTCACCTAAGTTGACTACATTCTTTGCCCAGAATGTGGGATCACAATGGAAGCGTATTGCTCCATTAGCAGCTGGGACAGGATCACATCGTGCTTTTAAAATATGTCGCAGCTGGAACGTGATCTGTGAGAAGACAAACACTCTCAGATTAGTGATGACATTGTGCGGAGAGTCAACAAAAAGAAGTCGACAAAACAAAATGCAAATTGTCAACAACTGTGTGTGGCTTTGAGCAAGCTGCCATCTCTTATCCTAACCTATCTCATATAAATAAGCTAACCCTTATTTTCAGTCGCTTAGAAGGATACAAACATGAGGTCGCAAGAGAATTACTACTGGAGTGCATTACTTCTAAAATACAAGAAGCAAATAGATGGTGGCACAGGACTAAGCCACATTCAGAGTATACCCAGTGGAATGAAAATACTTACTCACTGAAACCCACTGATTTCAATGGATCTACTTTAGGAATAGCTTAGTCTGATACCAGCCAGAGTTCGTAAGTGATAACTTGTATTTTTATACATGCCTGACATTAGTTGTACCAATGTTCAAATGATAACACAGAAAACATACACAAAATATAGAACAAGACTTTAATTTTTCCATGTGAGTAGAAAGCAAACGATGTATATTTGACATGGGAAAAGTTCTATTCTAAGTCAAACCCCGGAATTGGTTTTAAATTCTAATTTGCTTCAATGATTAAGGCGTCATCCAAAGCTCAAGTCATTCAATGTGAAAGACATACACCCTGAGCAAGGTGCTAGACTTTTATCACTTTGGAATTACAAACTGAGAGAGCCATACCAACACTCAAAAATGATAGTAAATTCCCCCTAATTTGTTCCCCTTATCTTCTAGCAGCACTTCCGGCAAGCTAAATGCCAAATTCCAGTACCAAAATTCTAATGGAAAAATGTGCTTCCTGCCTTTCACTGAAACAGACACAGGAATTATTGAGAATTGAGCAGGATCAGTTCACAGCAGCTGCTGATATTGATCCAAGGTGGTAAGCAGTGATGCAAGTAAAATTTTGATGGCCCACTTCAACTGGCATCTGAATTATCATGTAAACACAACTTTTATAAATACTGTATTAATTTTCCATGCTATATAAATGTGCTAAACATTTAAGCCAGCCAAATGTAGTCCAATATGGAAGGTAAAACTTAATCAAATAAAACACATTCAGATATAGTTTTATGCAATCAGGGTTTTAGTTCTGATTTGCAGTCCATCATTAAAACAACTGGTTTTGACTTGAAGCAAATCAAGCGGCAACTTCATCAACTGAAATTTCTGGTTTTTGGTTTTACTTTATCCTGGTGTTTTGTTTTGTTTTTACAAGTAACTAGAACTAGAGAGGGGAAATGAAAAAATTTCCTTGGGAAAAGTTTTACTCTTTTAGAATTCTTGGTGATTGCTGTTATGGTTTTTAACTTAACTACCCAAATGAAGTTGTTCATTGGATGGTATATAACTGTTAAAACTGTTGGCATCTGTCTGTCTGAAGAGACAATAGAAGAGTGAGTCATCGGGTGGGTAAAGTCAAACCATTGGAGAGTTAAAGTGCCTCTTGTGGCTGTAGAGACTAATATGGGAGAAACATGTTTTACTGCAGGTAGAACAGATAAAGGTGTCTGGTTTCACTGTTACAGAAGCACCATGGCATTTCTTCTCTCTGTGCTTCTCCCAGCGGTCATTTCTCCTCTGGTCACTACTATGGATACATGACCTGACTGTCTTCAGGCAATGCGGTCATCTGCAAGGGATTCCCACATGGCACGGTTAATGTTGCCAGCCTTCATGTCACATTTGCAGACATCTTTGTAACACGGAGTTGGTCTGCCAACAGGCCTGGTGCCTAAAAACAGCTCCCCATAAAGCACATCTTTGGCGATCTGGCCATCTTCCATTGTGTGGACGTGACCAAGCCGCAGTAGACGTCGCTGAGACTGAAGTGTGGACATGGTGGGAATGTGGGTTTGGAAGAGCACATATTTGTTTGAGACTCTGTCCTACAATGTGATGCCCAAAATATTCCTGACACAGCGCTTACAGAAGGCACTGAGGTGTCGCTCCTGGCGGGTGTAAGTTGCTTACGACTCACTTCCATAATGCAGTGTGCTCAACACACAAGCCCGGTAGACCTTCCTCTTGGTATTGGTTGTTAGCATCACATTCTCCCATAGGCTTTTGGGGAGGCAAGTTGTTGCTATAGCTGCCTTACCAACACACCATCAATGGTTATGGTGGAGACTCACTTCACTGGTACTGAGTAAATTACATATAGCTACAAGGCACTAAAGGTTCAGTGACTGTCTATACAAGTGAAACTGTTTGTTTCAAACAACATCTAACTCCATGAACTTTGCAAAGAAGCCAACAAATTGCCCCTCAGCTGACCATCATGAAGCCTAGGTAACCACCAGAAACTATCTGGCCTGACATCAACTCCTGCATAGATTCAGGAACAGGTAAAAAACAATTGAGCACCTGCTAGAAAGACCTACATAATTGTCAATGCTATGTATTGCAGTGTTACATTTACCTAATCAAAATGCAGCATGTGTCAGGGCTAGCTGGCTTGCCAAACGAACAAACTTCCAAATTTTACAGTAATTTAAATATCAAGTTTGGAATAAAATGTGGACTGGAAACACTTGTACAAATATTAGCAAAGTGGCATTAGCTGTACTTACCTGAAAGCTTTGAGAGTAAGAAAAACATGGGTCCCCATGATGCAATATTCTTTGTTTCAATGCAAGAATAAGAGTATAATCTATGCTATACTGGAATTCAAAGCTTTCCTTACCAGTCGCTTGCTATAGAGTAATGCAGTGCTGCTGCCACTTGCAATGGCCCAATTAGTAAAGTTCATCACATGTTTCACCTGCCGTGACAGACCACTGATATCGTACTGCTGCTGCATTAGCTTCATCTGTCTCTCCTTTGTTACAGTCTGAATAGAAACAGTACACACATATCCATTTTTAAAAAATAATACCAAATGCAATAATTAAAACATCTATCTATGCAATGTGTGGATACTTAGTACAGACATAAATCAGAAGTGTGGCTATAACAAATAGTGGGTAAAATCCAACATTTTGAGAGTGGACTTTTATTTGTAGAATAACTTTGTGCCATACTGGCACTGAGTGCTGACAGATCACTGGGCAGAACAAAAACAATTCATTGGATTCTGTTAATTGTTTTTTAAAATTACAATTATCATGTTGGCACGGACATGATCTGAAAATGTACACTGCTGAAAACTTGCTGAAGCTAAGTAAGTGGTTGGGTGGGAGACTTTGTCAGAACTCAAAAAGAAGAAAATTGGATATAATTGTAATAAATAATATTTATAGTCATTGGCAATACCATCAATTTTTATTCAGTTTAATTATGACTGCACACTTCAGTCTCACAGATGGATTTATTTTAGACATGACTTCCTCAGTTTCCCAGTAACCATGATTGTAATCATTAGTGTTAGTTAAACTGCGTGCAACTATTTCAGATGTATTTCCTTCCTATAATGCTGAAAAGTGTAGTTTATTTTATATTATTTTAAAATATAAATGCTGGGTTGTATCCAGTGATGTTTGTGCAGATTGAGATTCCAGCTGCACAAATAAATTATTACTATTATCATTATCATTATTATTATTACCTCGCCCTTTCCCTTTATCTCTGCTCCCCATTGCCCTTTGCATGCTTCCAAAATCTGCTCCAGAGGTTGGGGGACCCTTTGGTTTGGTGGATTGATGGAGCCTCAGAGGAGAAGAGGGGAAAATCCTGTTCTGCCCGATTATGGGCAATTCTTCCTACCACTGTAGCACTGGACAACAGAGCCCTGTGATGTTTGGTAGTGATCCCCAGCCCTCCAGAGCAGTTGTTTGTTTTGGGGTGGTGGTGGGATGATACAGATCGGATGATACAGAGGGCAGAAAGAAAAGATCCACTATGTGAGCCTGCCAACTCACACAATGTTGGCTATATTCCATATATACAATTTTATTATTTTATACATTATCCACCTAAAAGATGCTCAAGGCAGTTCACAAAAAAGGGAAAACATACAATAGGATTGTAACTGCTCCATAATTTTGCATTATGATTTATTTCTTCAAAAAGTGCTAATTTGATGCAAGTAGTTAAAGCTAGCTTTATATCTACATTTTGACCGAGTTTGGTTTAAGCAGTCATCACCTACTTAACCTATCAAATAAATATAGCACCAGCAATAAACATCCCCCATCCCATCCCATTTGGTGCTTGTTACCACAGAGCTTAGGGATTTAATAGCCTTGCTTTCAGGCATCGCAGTAATTTTATCAAAATTAAAGCAAAAAGTGGGGCAATCTATACCTCTGGGCATCACAAAGGAAGACAACATGGAATATGAATATGATTTATCATAATTTTGAAACACTGAAAGTCCTGTGAAGTTTCAAAGAACTCTACAAAAGCAACATCACAGTTATAGGTCACATTTTTACAAAAAAAAATTACTATTTTTATTTTCCTGTAAAGAATCATCTAGTTCTAAAATTTCATTTGTTCATAAGAATTAATTAGTAGCATAATGACTGGATAGAATACCATTCAAACTGTGCCATTTCTAAATTGCAATTAACTTTTTTTTTAGGAGCACAGTACCTTTGGGTGTACTAAAATTAGACTGCAATCCTATGCCCACTTACCTGGGAGTAAGCCCCACTGAACTCAATGGAAGCTACTTCTGAAAAGACATGTATAGGACTGCACTGTTAATAGTGTCTTAGTCTCTCTCCTTAAAATTTAACAAGGAGAAGGGTATTCTATTAGGCTATTGCATTTTTAAAAAATTACAAGTATTCCCATAACAATAATTTGACCATAAAAATTATACCACATTGTGCATTTTGTGAATTATTTTCCTATTCAGTATTTCCACTGAACTACATCTGGCTATGGAAACCATTTTGAGATATTGGTACCACATATAAGATCAGCATTTTAAAAACATTTTCTTTATGAAATATAAAAGCCAAACACGTAAAATCTCATCCAGACTGATTAAAGTCATCAGGAAATTGTCCGATTCAAAATGTTCTGAGCAACCCACATCACCAATACCCTTTCAACCTATGACAGGGGACTTGGCAATGAACAACCCAATATTGTAATGAGACACAAAGCTGCAATGTAGATGACTACTAATTTGTCATCCACTGAAAAAATAATAATCTGCATCCAAGTCAGAAGAATTTTAACTGTTAACTACAGATTCAATTAGTGCCACTAAAAGAATTCTGCAAACTGTACTTTCCCAAGGATGCTGTGAGCCATTAGGAGACCCCTCACAGAGCTACAAGCACTCTTAACTAAAGTTCCAAGAATTCTTTGAAGGAAGCCATGATTGTTTAAGTGGCTTAAGAGTGCTTTAAATGTATGGTATGGATGCGATCACACAAATCTGAAGGGTAGGACAAGTATCAATGAGAGATTTCAAATTTTAAAATGATGCATTCAACAAAGGGTAAGAAGATTTTTATAAGACATCACACGGAAAGCAGCACACTTAAAGTCATGTAACCGAGTGGCTCTGCAATTTGTGCCTTACTGAACTGTCATGAATATTTACAATCCATGTTGGTTTTAGGCAGGCATATTGAGAAAGGAACTCAATGGCCCTTTCTGCACTTAGCTAAGCCGTAGTTTAGGACTACATGAACAAGCATCAGCAAGCCTCAGGCACACATGCTCCCCACTTTCCTCCAGCATAGCCATGAACGCAATTAACTAGATTTCCCCATTGTGTGCAAACTGGGGGGAAATCTGGTTAGGTTAAACTACAGTCTGTTAACAAGCCAGGATCATAAGCCACAGTTTGACTCTTGGCTTGCTTGCTGCGTAATTTAAACTAACCAGAGATATTGAAAGTTTGAATGTAATCATGCTTGCTAGCATTGTGTGTGAAATGCGCCAAGAATTTCATAATGGACAAAACCAACCACAGGGTTATTCAAGACAGAAGAAGCCATATACGTGCAAAGATCACAGCAGGATTCATGCTAAATATTTTTATTTATTTATTATGCATTTAGTTGTACCTCAAGCTGTTGTAGGAGAGCTTTTCCTTTTTTATTGATTTCATTGATGAGGGTAAAAATAGCCACTTTGATTTCCTGTTCTACTCGTTTGTTAGTTTCATTTACTTCTTTTATCCTGAAAGAGAGAAATGTGCTGTCAGGCAGTAGCATTGCAACATCTTTAACCTTTTTTCCCCTCAAGCAAAAATTCAACATATTATATAAATAGATACAGATTTATATGAAGTATGTTCAACTTCAGTACAACAGTCTAACCATATTTTCCATTCATTCTTAAGAAGAAAATCGTAAAAGTAATTTTGTTTTACAATATGGGACAACAACTTCCATCAACATTAAAATATCCTTCTATGTTTGTTAGATATTTATGTTTCATGTGTTATGAAATGTTTATTCTACTGTTTTCTTTGCTTTTTGGGGGACTAACTTAGCACAGAGAAACTTAGCTTTTTTTTAAAAAAAACCTAATTAATAAAAGGGGCAACCTGTTATTTCAATTTAATGTTCACCTCTCTGTCTGAAGCAGGTAGTTATTTGGCCTCCTATAAGCACCGGCCTATCGTGCCACTGGTGTCATACTGATGTGTTGTGCTCCCTGGGGCATTATTAACTCCTATTTCTAACCTACTCTTCATCAATTGAGATCCCAGAGTAATGAAACACACTGCAGTGCTGCAGTAACTGCACAGCTGGTATGCACATACTCTCCATCTTTGGCCGCAAAAAGCCAGGGAGGTTGCCTGGATGTTCTAGCTTGTTAGTGAGGAAGGCTCTCCCTGCCAAAGCTGCAAAGTGCATGGGCACACTGTTCTTCATTGAACAAGCACTTGCGAATCTGGTACAACAGATAACATTTGCAGAAATCTATTTGTACATGTGGATTCTGTTTGCTGGATCAGGCTGAATAGCTGTTCTACTTCCATCTTCAGAGGCTAGAATTTTAGTAATCGTATAAACTAGCCCATCTGAAGGAAAAACAATACCGTATAAGCATTATTATAGAAATAATAATAATCACCTACCTATTTTGCACCTGAGTAGCTGCAAAGTTAACATAATTCTTCTTTTCAAGGAGTTTGGCTAATAGATTCTCAATAGCACCCTTTTGATTCTGAAACGCTTCTTCCAAAAACTGGTACCTTTCCGAAGCAAAAGACAACATGCAATTATCTAACAGGAGCACTGCAGTAAGAGGAAACACTGGATTGAAATATAAGCTTGCTAACATGAAAAGTGGCAGCTGCATTAATACCATTGGTAAGGAATGCTTAAAAGACAGGTTTGCAAATGGGGATTTCCGTTGTACAAAGAATCATAGAATTGTAGAGTTGGAAGGGTCATATAGTACAACCCCCTCCAAACAGAATGATCTCAATTGCCATTAGCAACACCTCTTAAAGGTAAAGGTAAAGGTACCCCTGCCCGTACGGGCCAGTCGTGTCTGACTCTAGGGTTGTGCGCCCATCTCACTTAAGAAGCCGGGGGCCAGCGCTGTCCGGAGACACTTCCGGGTCACGAAGCTGCTCTGGCGAGCCAGCACCAGCGCAGCACACGGAAACGCTGTTTACCTTCCCGCTATAAAGCGGTACCTATTTATCTACTTGCACTTAGGGGTGCTTTCGAACTGCTAGGTGGGCAGGAGCTGGGACCGAAAGACGGGAGCTCACCCCGCCGCGGGGATTCGAATCGGCGACCATGCGATCGGCAAGCCCTAGGCACTGAGGTTTTACCCACAGCGCCACCCGCGTCCCAAGCAACACCTCTTAGTCTGTTTCAATTCTCAAAACAAAATCCAGTGTTTCTAGAAATCTAAGAATATATGTGGTGATTTTGTGAAAAATCATTTGCATTCTGCAGAAATATTTTATCAGGAAGGTTGAGTTATGTGTTCATGCTGAATTGTCCATTCATTGAATGGTTTGTTTTTGCTTCACTGATATTTTACTGTTTTTTTAAATATTATGAACCACTTATGTATAGGTTATTCCAATACTTTATTAGAATAAAAAGCTCTGAGCTCAACCCTGGAAAAGCAGCATAAGAGTATTAAATAATAATCAAATATATGGAATCACAATGAAATGGTCAAACTTTTGCAGAAGTTTGCACGTCAAATTTTGCTATCCTTCTCTCCTGCAGATGCCAGAAAATATTATTCATGAACATAAGTCTGTGAATGGGGGGATAATTATATCTGCTGTCTCATTTTATTACCAGGGTTCATGTTTCAGAAATTTGTACTGTACTTGCCCAGATTGCAATCTGTATTACATATGAATCTAAGCAATTGTACTGGTCCATCTATAAGGCAAGAATAATACTGTGAGCTTGCCATCTTTATTTTAGTAAACCAGACCCAGCCAACTGGTTAGCAAAAAAAGCCCAATCGACTATCCATATACTGCTAATAATTAATGTCAAATTATTATTGTCAAAGTTTCTGAAATAGCATGTTATTCTAAAAATCTGTGACCAATCTAAACCTCAAGAATTTCATGCTCCAGAAACAACATAATGAGAATTTCCCTGAAGAACTAAAATATTTAAATAAGGAAATTACCTTAGAAGTATGCCCTAGAAGGTGCAAAGATAACAGACTGAACACAAATATCCTAGCATACAGAGGCAGGCACTACTACACTGATTTTTTTCCCCTTATGCACAGCTTCCTATACCTCTAAGAAGTCACCAGTTTAAAGTTCAGCAGGGCGATCTTACAAACCAAATCAATGTATTCAGCTGGAAAACAATAGGTGTTTTCATTAAGCTGCATTAATGCTATAGAAGTGGAAATGTTGCAGATGCATTCTTCAAAGTACTAATCATGGAAGCTAAGACAGGTATTTCTGCTTAAATGATGCCTACATGTATATTTGACCAGAGGTAGCCATTTGCTGCATCATATTTCTTTCATAAACTCAGTGATTTTGAAAGAATTAACATTCAGTGTTGCATCAATCTACGGAATGAACTCATGCAATAATAGCCTAATCCTTGTTAAAGTGTCAGCATCATCAGTGCCAATTCTATTAAAATATTAGCATCTAATTGCATACATCAGTTCACGAACCGTTAATTTTTTGTTCCTTTTCATACTCTGGCCTTGTTTACACATCACATTAAATCACAGTTAAATGAACTATGGTTTAAGTGAAGGAGCAGCATAGTTTAATGTGGTCCACGCTACTCAAAAAATTCTAGTTCCCAATTCACTCCTCCCCACTGTGATGCTGCCACACCAGAGAGGAAACAAGCCATAGCCTGGCTTTTCATTGTTCCTCTCCAAACCAAATATGAGAAGTAAGCCAAAAACAAACCTTTGCTCATAGTTTGTTTGGAGAGAAACAAAGCTTGAGCTACAACAAGAAACTTGTTTTGTCCCCAGCAAGTCAGCAGCAGAAGTGGGGACCTTAGACCATATGCACCAGCACACTACTTATTCAGACTAAAATACCATTTTGTTTAACTATGATTTAATATGACATGTGAATCAGGCTTTCGTCAGTCGCTCTGAGCATTTCCTTTTATAAGGAAAAAGTGGGAGAGAAATTTTTGTATAAAATAATCTATTTCTAAAATTGATCAATTAAAAAGCAGTTGCTGATTAACTGGGCAATACATCAAAAATGTCAATTGTTTTTAACAGATGTACTTACAAAAATGGCAGGTGCTGATGCCCTCCTTTTGAACACACTTTCCCTTCTCTACCTCACACTGGAGGAAATGCCTCTTCTAAGATGGTACTTGCTGCACACATCATGTAAAATCAAGATATGTTTCCCCACAAAAATATTGCTTTATTCATGTACAAATGTGTAATTTAAATTATCAACTAAAATTCATGTGATTAAGATTTCTTTAATCTGACGACTGCTCTATTGCCACTTAGAATCAGTACTGGAATTAAGAGCCCAAAGCACCACCAGCCCAAATCTATCTGCTACAGACACAAAGTTCACACATTATATAGCAGTAATACTTGAGGACTGTACACTACTTTAAATGCATCTGCTGTGTGAAGAAACAGCATAGGAATAGAAGAAGAGCCATACCTATGTTCTTTGTGTTCCAGTAACTGGCAGTCTCTGCATGTCAGTCTGTCACAAGTTTCACAGAAAAGTTTTAGCTGTTCTTGTTTGTGCACAGGACAGAAAACAGCACGCTGACCAGATGCTCCAACAGCCTCTGTGTTAAAAAAGAGACTTTTTGTATTTTAATGTAAAGATTAAGTCAGTCTACAGATTGAAACTGGCAGAAGAGCATCCAGAGCTCAAGGAGAGTCAATGCCATGGAAGAGATCCCCATGCAGAGGCACAGACTGCTGACTAGGAACAGTATCAGGGCCCACCATTTCTGTCTTTCAGTTTCTTTGGATTGGGAAAGTGCTATGTTCCACTTCCCATCTATTTTGGCTATTCACTCCTTTCTCAGCAAATACCCCTCCCCTCCAAAAAAGAACCAAACACTGTGTTACTTTTGTTGAACTTCTGCCTTCAGCACAAAATCCCTTCCCAGTTTCATTTAGGTCCTGCATTAAGGGAAGAATCCAGCAGCATTAACATCCACCTTTGGCAGTTGCCTTGCAAGACATTAAAGGGGGTGTTGCTTTTGGTGAATGTTTGTGGCCTAGATCTCAACCGGAGAAAGGTATTAAGATGGTGGAACCACATCTCCGTTATTCCGCTAATTAAAACTATCCTGCCTCACTAACTACTGCCCTATTTTCCTACAATTATTTATCTCTAACCTCTGAGATAATCTCACTTGCTCCAACTACCTTGTGTCTCCAGCTACTCCAACCAACTCTTTTCTCAGCCTTCAACAAACTGCCTTCCACTTCCTACAGTTCATTGAAACTGCCTTAGTCAAAACCACCCATTTCCAGATCCAAATAAACATAATAATGTTAGTTTTCTTACTTTCATCTTAAAACACTCTTATATTTATTAATTTATATGCCACTATAAAGCGGCATAAAAAAGTAGGCCTTTGCCCTGTGGAACATGTAATCAAATATTTGACACACTGTCTCTGCTGGAGGAAATGTTAGAAGAGGGAGAAGAGAGGAGAAGGAGGCAAGTGTAAATTGGAAGAGTATGGATTCCGTTCAGTTACATATACTTCAGCTTAGCTTCGGTAATGGAAGAGGAATAAGATGCAAGCAAGCATAAACGACCCAGGTAAGTCTTCACCACTTATAAATGGTTAAACACAAGCATTGCACGTTGTGAGTAGGTCTAGGATTGCAATAGCAGGGACAAAACTAATAGGGTGTATCCACTAACCCACCTACAACAATCTGTCTTCTGACTAATAAACTGCCAGAAATTACTTGTCTTCGTATATTTTACTGATACTGCCAGATTACATTAAGGAAACAGACATGTGTGGACAGACTTTTTGTTAAAGTTTACTGCCAATGTTTAAATGTTTTTTATTAATGACTGGACCGTTATTGTACTTCAGAAATATCCAAGAATTGTTTAGTTTTCCAATGGGAAACCATGGCCCTAGCATCAGAAAATGGACAGCAGTAGGTAGCCAGGTATTGAACTTAGCAGCAAGGGTGTCAGAATTGTACCATGGGCTACATAACAACAGCAACTGAGCTGCCCAATTGAAAAGGACTTAGCCGTGTATGAAATTAAGTATTTTGTGTTATTTGCTTTCCAATGAAGTCACAATTCAACAGCCTCTCTCTGTTCCAAAACACAAAAATGACATGGATTTTCAGTATCCTAAGCTATCTATAGAGTCAGAGCTATTCTTGACAGTCATGTATTAAGTTAGAAACGGAAATTTCACCTGAAGAGACATCTTCTTTCTTTCTAATCATATGATCCTTAGTAAATTTAACTCGTTGATGAGCTTCTATGCAGGTTTTGCACAGCCATTCTCCACATTCCACACAGAAACCAACAGCACTAGAATTATCTTCACAGCTGGTGCACACCTAAAAGCCGGGGGAGGGGAATATTTTCAAATGCTGAAGCTTTGACATGTCAATCCAAAAATTACCAAAATATTTTATCTTACACAAGACAAAACTCAAATCACATTGCAAGGAGAAAAGAGTAGAAGTGTCATACCTGTTCTGATTTCTCATCAGAGCTGCTGGGAGCTTCAGATGTGTCTTTGACAAAGTAGTTATCTACCAAATCTATTTGCCTGCATTCCTGGCGACAGATTGGACACCTGATCACACCAACTGCAACAAAAAAAGGGTACTTCTTACACTTTACTGGATTGCCATAACTTGATTTTTAAAATCATCATAATATTTGTAATTAAAATACAGAATCTTCTTCCAAACCTATTAAGCATAATATGTCCAAGGACAATGCATAAGAGCACTTTCAGCTCCAAATAAGATGTGTTTCACAAATATTTCAAATTCCTATAAGGCACAACATTTATTTATTTTTAACTATATCAATAACCTGGGAGCTAACACACTAACAGTGCTCCATAAAGTTTCAGAACAGTTGGTTTTTATTACACCATACTTCATCAGTTCTCAGGGATATTGCAATGTATGAAACTAAATAATTAGCAGCACAACAAATACAGGTTGGTGGCATTTTATGAACAACTCTTCCAAGCTGTTTTTGATCCTTTCCACTTAGAGGGTTGGATCCAGACCAAGTTAAATGAAATTAAAATTACGTAGTACCGGTAACTTTGATTTCAGTAGGCCCTAATTTAAGTTACACTTAAATCAGTGGAAGCCAAGTACAACTAACTTAATATGGATCTATCCCATTGTTTCCTCAAAACAAAACAAAACAAAACAAAACAAAACAGTAAGGCATGAACAAATACTGGTTGATGTTTGCAGCTTGCTTGGTGGGAAGCAAACTATGAGCCCAGGTTCAGACAACAGGATAAGCCCAAATCTGGCTTGTTTCACTCATGATGCAGCAAGACCAACAAGGAATGGAATAAGAACTTTTCAGCACACTGAACATCATGCACAGTCATGTTAAATCAAAGTGTGTGTTTAACTTTAGTTTAATATGACATGAGAACTGAGTCAAAGTCTATAGTCTCATTCACATGTACTGTGAAGTCAAACCATGGCTTGGCATGAATGTATGAACATGATAGCTCCTGAGGACAATATCGCAGGCACTTTGCTCCTCCCTGGGCATTTTAGCTCTGCACAGCAGTGCCACATGAACCCATTATCATAGTTAAGGTATCTCCTTGCGAACTATGACCTGTAACCATAAGAAAAACCTTGGCTACTGGTTATGAGTAAGCAGGAGAGATCTTAACCATAATCTCAAGTTTGGATGACATGCAAAGCCAAACCTAGGCTTAGGTGCCATGCTGCGCTGAGACAGGGAGCAACAAAGTGGCTGCAATCTCCCCAGAAACCAACAGCTAAGCCATTAAGTGCAAAGTTCTATGTACAAGAACAGCTCATCACCTCTGAGGAAATACTTGTCTCAATATGTCCAGCACCTTTCTGGGCCTCAGAAGGCTGCAAAAGGCTGCCTTTGAGGAGGATCAAAATGCATCTTTCTAGGAGCTAGCAGGTTCACGTTGTCACAGTAAATCATTATCTGGCTTACCATGATACAAGAACCAGATCTATGTCACATGACTAAAATAGCAATCACAATCAAATATATGCTGGTGTGCCTTTTGATGAAAGACCTTAATAGTTCACAGCACTCATTAGTAGGATTTAAATATGATACAGAAGTCTGACATTTAATGAATGTTTGTATTATTACTAATATGCTATTAGTTTGAGCTTTCTTCTGCTCCATTTTCAATAATGTTTGACAATACAAGTAAAACAGTCCCTAAACAAGGACTCTACATTTTCAAAATGGATATGTGCCAACAGATACTGTTCTGCCTTATGCAAACACATTCTGGGCAGAGCTTAAATCTGAAGAGGTTTTCTCATCAGTGTTCAAAATTCCCCAGGCACAAATCGTGTTTTGTGACAAGTGCGGGTTCAACTGCGGTCATGTGGAAATCTCTGAATGCCAGGCTGCATTGCAGGGGGGTTAGACCAGATGACCCTCGTGGGTCCTTCCATCTTGACATTCTATCATTCTATGATTTCCTGTGCTACTTTCTTGACAGCCAAAGGATCTTAGTGGCCAAAGGGAGGTAGAAGAATTATGGTGCATTTAGCATTGAATATAGTAAGTTTTCCAACAGTCCTCTCCTAGCCAAATGTTGCTGCCTATCTTGAGGAGACAGTCTTCTCCAATTTCAAAATTAGAGCTGTTTTTAAGGAGTTGAGCTGGTTTCTTTATCATCAAAGTATTAAAGGTTGAAGTTAGGTTGATACATTAATTGTGCATCTAAAAAACAAAACTATTTCCATAATTAACCCCTGTGGAAGATCACAAGGAGGTGAGAGGAGCCAAGTGACAATTCAAAAACATTTTGTGTAATTAATCTTCCAATTGCTAAAAAACCTACAGCAAACACATAAAATTGAAGAAATATCAAGAGCATTGTTGGATAAAAGCTAAGCTATAAATGGAACAATTAAATACAAATAATTATGTGGTACCAGCCAATACTATAAAACTGGTAAAGCAACCTTTTTTTAATTGGACAAACTTTTTGCTGGCACAGAAACAGGCAAGCTTTCAAGTTACATTTTTAAAAAAACTCAGCAGGCCAAAATAAAAATAAAAATGGAAAGCCTATGCTCCATGTATCAGTCAAATACATAGAACAGATTTAGTACCAGTCTGAATATTTGCTTATTTTTGTACAATCTTATCTGAGTGTACTTAGGTAGGGAAAACCAGGAAGTGATGTAAGAAATGGGGAGCAGCCACAGCACACTGCTAGATTTTTCCCAGCTGAAGAACATAAAAGAAGCCCTATCTATTATACCAATATGATGCTTCCTACAGCAACCAAACTGATAGCTTCACAAAGCTCACAAGCAGGACATAAACAAAATATACCTCCCACACCTTTGCTCCCCAGCAACTGTTCAGTGGCATTTCATAATTGAACATGGAGGTTCCTTAGACCCACCAGGCCTATGCTCCATGTATCGGTCAAATCCCTTTAAAAAGTCGTCTATGAGCCATTACCACATATTATTATAGATACAAATTCCAGAAATTATGCACTGTTAATTTATTTTGTAAAATTTATACACCGCTTGCTTGTAAAAAAACAACAACTGAAAGCTGTCCTCTCTCATTACTGAATTGCCCAAAGCTCCAGTATTGTGTCTAGCCACTTCTCTCACAAGATGAATAATTTTATAAGCATCTATCAACAAAAAAAAGTATGTTATGGTTGCAATGCTAGGAGTGAGGGACAGAAGCATAGGGGCATGTGTTTTCAAAATACAGTGGTGCCTCGCAAGACGAAAAGAATCCGTTCCGCGATTCTCTTCGTCTTGCGAAGCAAGCCCATTAGCGGCTTAGCGGATTAGCGCTATTAGCGGCTTAGCGGATCAGCTGATAAGCGGCTTAGCGGCTCAGCTGATAAGCATCTTAGCGTCTTAGCGGATCAGCTGTTAAGCAGTTTAGCGGATCAGCTGATAAGAGGCTTAGCGGATCAGCTGATAAGCGGCTTAGCGATCAGCTGTTAAGCGGCTTAGCGATCAGCTGTTAAGCGGCTTAGCGGCTTAGCGGATCAGCTGTTAAGCGGCTTAGCGGATCAGCTGATAAGCGGCTTAGCGGCTTGGGAAAAAGGGGGGCGGAGGAAAAAAACCCTGCAGGAACTCGCAAGACATTTTCGTCTTGCGAAGCAAGCCCATAGGAAATTCGTTTTGCGAAGCACCTCCAAAACGGAAAACCCTTTCGTCTAGCGGGTTTTCCGTCTTGCGAGGCATTCGTATTGCGGTGCACCACTGTAAGTCATTATTTTATTTAATCTATTTATATACCACCCTTCAGTTCAAGGCTACTACAATGGAGACAAAGAGAACTGATTTGGTATATCAAAAGCAGGACAAGCAACATACTCTTCAGAGCATGGCGAAAGAAGTAAAGTTAATCTTGTTTTAGGGCTGCCATATGTCTGGAATTTCTTGAACAAAGCCGGGATCCATCTGTCAAAAATGATGTCTGACGGAATTTTCGAAAAGCAGTTAAAATGTTCAGGGAAACCCGGGCATATGGCAGTCCATATCGGAAGTTTTTATTTTTTTCGCAAATTTCCTGAAGAATAGCTTAAAAACTTATTCTTTTTTAAAAAAATAAATAAATTTTGCAAAGCTCAACAACTTAATTTTTGTGTCCTGATATACGGCAACCCTATCTTGTTTTCTCTGATCTGCACTTCATCCTATGATGCCTTTTAGAAATATATTGCTTGAGCTAGGAAAAGCCAGCACAAGTGAATCTTAAAGTTCTTACACACAACTCACAGCTTTGTTGGGCTTCTCAGGAACCTACCAACGCATGAGAAAATAGTTCCTAGTCTTCTTGGTTGCAAAACTGGCTGGGCTCCACAAATCCAGTTGCCAGCACCCATTCCCACTTCTCTATAAACTACAGAGGTATACTGCAAGAGAAATCCCTCACATCATGCTGAGGTTTTGACAGAAGCAGTGACTGCGGCTTGCACTGCTTCTGTTTTAATTTCAGCAAAATTCCTGCCCAAAGTGAGATAAGATCCACCCACTTCCCCATCATCATTGGGCAGCAGACTGTTGGGAAAAATATTTTCCACCACTTTGTGCCCTGCCTTGAAGACTGAAAGAACTGACAGGAGTCCTCCTTGCTATTTCCCCAGTGCATAATGTGAAGTGGAAGTCAAGTCTCTGTGCAACCAACAGTAGGGAAAGGAAAAGCACTAAAGGGGCATAAACATCTTTCAATTTTTGTAGGGCTACAAGAAGTGACAGATAAGATCCACCCCACCCTCAAATGCTCTTGTGTATTGCTGCTGCTGCTGCTGCTGCTGCTGCTAGGAGGACTGGTGTTTATCAATGAAACTTTCTGAAACGGTTCTTTGAAGACTGGGAATAGAGAATATGCTAAAGCATGCATAACTGTGCAATCCTAGCCATGTCTACACAGAAGTCAGTCCTACTGAATGCAATGGGACTTACTGCTAGGTAAATGGGGTTAAGATTGCAGCTTAAGTTATCACCTAAAGTTCATTGCAGAAAATGGTTTGCACTGTTACATGGAAAAAATGAATTTGCCTTAATTAAAACTACTCCCCTCACCACTTCAACACTTTAAATAAACTACTGGTATT